AGCTAAGGACGGGAGTCGAACGAAAGGCACCAGAACTGAGGCGCAACCCAGTATGGTGCAAAGCATCAAGACGGCGAAGAGTAGAAGGAGAAGCAGACGAGTAAGCAGGGCAACCATAATCGAGCTTAGACAGGACGAGAGAGGAATGTAAAGCAAGGAGAGTGCGCCTATCTGCCCCCCAAGAAGTATGGGACAAGACCCGAAGGAGGGTAAGGGACTTAGAGCACTCAACACGGAGGTAAGAGATATGGGGAGACCAAGACAAACGAGTGTCAAGGAATAACCCCAAAAGCTTCGCGGAATCTTTGTATTCAAGGGGATGACCATAAAGTGACAAAGAGGGACGAAGAACAACCCGTTTCCGCGTAAAAGTCATGGCACAAGTCTTAGAAGTAGAGAACTTGAAGCCATGACCTGTGGCCCAAGACGACACGGCATCAATCGCAAGTTGAAGCCGGCGTTGAAGGAGAGGCGAATCATCACCCTGACAACAAAGGGTAAGATCATCGACATAGAGAGCGGAGAAGACACCAGAAGGAAGAGAGGAAAGAAGACCATTGAGGGCAACCAGAAAAAGAGTAGTGCTCAGAACACTACCCTGGGGCACACCTTCGTATTGCTGAAAAGAGGGAGAGAGAGCGGTACCAAGGCGCACCCGAAAGGAACGACGAGAGAGGAAGCTGCGGAGAAAGAGAGGGAGATGACCACGAAGGCCAAAAGAATGAAGTTGAGATAGGATATGATAACGCCAAGTGGTGTCGTAAGCCTTTTCTAGGTCAAAAAGGACGGCAACAACGGAGGTCTTCGCAGCAAAAGCAGTACGAATATAGACCTCCAAGTTCACCAGGACATCTGTCGTGCTGCGGCACTTGCGGAAACCAAATTAAAAAGGGGAGAGGAGGTGATGGTGTTCCAGGAACCACATCAGACGAACGTTAACCATACGTTCAAAGAGTTTGCAGACACAACTTGTGAGAGCAATAGGGCGAAAGTCCTTAGGGGAAGTACCCAGAGACCCCGGTTTGCGAACAGGGAGGACAACGGCATCGAGCCAGTCCTCAGGGACTGACGACGACTCCCAGATCCGATTATACAGACTCAGTAAATACTGAGACGTGCTCGGAGGGAGATGGCGAAGCATCTCATAATGAATACCATCGGAGCCCGCCGCCGTAGAACCGCAGAGGGCCAGGGCAGAACGAAGTTCAGAGAGAGAGAAGGGATCATTATAGGGAAGCTGAAGATGAGTGCAGAAATCTAAAGGACGAGACTCAAGGACAGGTTTACGAAGAAGGAAAGATTGGGGAAGATGAAGACCAGAGCTAACAGAAGAAAAGTGGGAACCCAGTTCGGAAGCGACCTGCAACGGGTCCGCCACAAGAGTATCATGGAGGTGAAGGACCGGTGAAACATCGGGAACGAACTTACCCGCTATCTTGCGGATACGCTTCCAGATCTGGGCCAGAGGGGTTTCGGACGTAATTGTCGAGACATAAGATGCCCAACATTCACGTTTAGCCGTACGGATGGCCCTACGGGCCACCGCACTCGCTTTCCGAAAGAAAAGAAAAGAATCGGTCGTCTGCCTACGGCGGTGCTTCTTCCAGGCTGCACGCTTACAGCGGACAGCCCGAGCACAGTCCGCATTCCACCAGGGAACGCACTTCCGTGGACCCCGAGAGGAAGAGCGAGGAATAGAGCGGAGGGCAGCGTCGAAGACAGTGTCATGAAAAAGGAGGAGAGCGCGAGAGAGGGGCAGAAGGGAGAGGTCAGAGAGAGTAGCACTGAGGGAAAATAGGGTCCAGTCCGCCTTAGCAAACTGCCACCTAGGGAAAGAGAGGGAAGGGCGAAAAGAGAAAAAGGAAACAAGGATGGGGAAATGATCACTTCCATGGAGGTCATCAAGAACCTGCCATGTGAAATCTAAATAAAGAGAAGAAGAGCAGAGAGAAAGATCAAGACAAGAAAGGGTGCGAGTTCGAGAGTCCAAATGAGTGGGCTCACCAGAATTCAGAAGAGACAGGGAAGAAGAGAGGAGAAACGGCTCAAGGAGGCGACCCCGGGTATTCGTCAGAACGTCACCCCAAAGAGAATGACGACAATTGAAGTCACCCAGCAGGAGCACAGGCTCCGGCAAGGAGTCTAGGAGGTGTTTCAAATCAGGAAGAGAGAGCGGGACACTCGGGGGGAGAGAAATGGAACAAACTGTGTACCATTTCCCCACAAAGATACGAGCAGCAGAACAATGGAGAGGCGAAGGAAAAAGTAAAGGAACAAAGGGAACATCAGCCCGAATCAAGAGAGCAGAAGAATTAGAAGCCCCAGCAATGGCTGGGGGGGGGGGGAGAGAAAGGAATAGCCACGAAAACGACCAGGACGAGCACCAAGCATCGGCTCCTGGAGACAGACACAAAGGGGCGAAAACCGCGAAACCAGAAGTTGGAGTTCGAGGAAATTGGCGTAATAACCTCGAACGTTCCATTGAAGAATGGACAACGACGAGAAGAGAAAGGACAAAAACAGAGAACAAGGAAGAAACAAAGGCAAAAGACCAACAGAGCACGTTAAAGAATATCAGGGTCGGGATCAGGGTCAGCAAAGTCAGGGTTAGGGGGCATGGGTAAACTGAGCAAAGACGGAGGGAAGGAAACGGGAGAACAGATCAGAGGTGGGCGGGCAGGGTCCGGAGGAGGAGGAGGAGGAGGAGGAGACAACGGAGAGGAGCAGTCAAGGACAGCAGCAGGAAGAGGGGGAGTAGAAAGAGAGGAGCGCACCCCAGCAAGAGCAGCAACCGAAAGGGAAGCAGGGGCCAAAGAAACCTCCATAGCAGGAACAGGGGGCGCAAGCACTGAAACGGGAGGGGAAGGAGCAACAGAGCCAGAAGGAGGAGCTGAGGAAGAAAGCGAAGCCTTCTTACCCGCCGGGGAAGAGGAAGGAGAGGAGCCAGGCTTACGCTTATGACTTAAAGAGACCGGTGTCCCAGTAACTACGTACCGGGCAACGGATTCCAGTGTCTCAACAGGAGAAGCCGAACGAGAGCACACACGACGGCCGTTAGGAGAGCGATGGACATCCGCCCGCACCGACAGGCGGCGGGGAGAGCCGATAGATGGAGGAAGAGGATGGGAAGGAGGATCGGAGGGGGACGAGGAAGGAGACACAGAAGACACGACAGACCGGGTAGAAGGAAGGGGAACCCCAGACAGAGGACCAGGAGGAGGATCCTTCGGGAGAGAACCCAAAGGGACAGAGGAGGGGGCAGTGGGCGCATCAGGGGGCAGTGGGCGCATCAGGGTCCAAGGCCTGGAAACGGTTGTGAGTCTGAGGAAGGCGGGAAGGACGAGGAGAGGAAGAGCGCAACACGCGAGCATAAGAGATATTAGCATAAGGCGGGAGCCGGCGAACCTGGCGCCTCGCCTCAGGAAAAGATAAACGCTCCCGGTGCTTCAAGTTGAGGACGGCTGCCTCAAGCTTGTAATGGACACACGCACGGGAGAAGGTAGGATGGGCCTCACCGCAGTTGAGGCAACGAGCCTGGGGAGAAGCGCACTCCGACTTAGAGTGACCTTCGCCACCACACAAAGGACAGAGAGAGACAGTCCCGGAGCAGCGGAGGGCACCATGCCCAAACCTCCAGCACTTGTTGCAGAGCCGAGGAGAAGGAATGTACTCCTGGACAGAGCACCTGGCACCAGCAAGAATGACAGAGGGTGGAAGGGTCCTACCATCAAAGGTAATCTTCACAACCCGGAGGGGTTGACGGCGACTACCACGAGGGGGACGAGTAAACGTGTCCACCTGGAGAATAGAATGGCCCTGGGCAGCGAGGATATGTCGAATATCGTCGTGGCAGTCGCGTAGGTCCCGAACACCGGTCGCAACATGGGGCGGGAGCAAAATAGTGCCAACACTGGCATTCAACTGAACGTTCTTCGAGACCCGAACGGGGGTCTCGCCAAGGCAGGATAAGGCAGCCAAGCGGGAAGCAGCATCCTGAGAAGGAGCAGCAACGACACGTGTACCGAGACGAGTGGGGTTGAAAGTAATGGAGGCATCCACGGAATCAATGAGATGTCGATGGAGGGAGAAATCGTCAGGAGGCGCAGAATCAAGAGGGAGGAGATCAAAATATTTGGCCCACGAAGCGGGACCAAACAAGGCTTGATAGGTAGCAGAACTGGAAGGAATCGAGCGAGGGCGGCCGTGACGAAGACGGCGGTGAGAACCCCCAGAGAGAGAGGGGTTAAAAGGCGCAGTAGTTACAACTAGAGAAGGAGCCACGCCAGGGGACGAGGTAGTTACCACTGGGGGCTTGGGGCTCGACCCAACCACAGAGGAGGGAGGGGAGCCAGAGGAAGGAGTCAGAGAGGCCAAAGGAGGAGCAAGGTCGGGGCCCAATGCAGCGGAGGCTACAGAGCCCGGTCTTCCAATACGGACCGACTCGGGGGCTTGGTCGCCCACCCCACGAGCCTGAGAAGGTAAACCAGAAGAAGCCGAAGCAGGGGTAATCATCTTGACGAAAGAAAGAATTCACTCACGAATGTGCCCCCACACCCACCATGGAGCCACAATTAGAGGCAGGACACCCAACAAGAAGCTATCGCCGATCTTGTCGGGGCCTCCTAGGGGTGCGTCGCGAGTATACGCCCCACAAACGCCACCTTAAGAAACCGACAGTCCGTCGAGATCGGGTTCAGTGACGAAGTGGGGATTGACAACAAAAGGTTCCCCTCGCTCTCGACGTCGGGTACTGCAGTTCTACGGGTGCATGAGTATGCCTCCTCAAGCACCCGGGCGTCAAAATAGAAGAAGTCCAAGGGAAGAACCAGAACGAGCAAAAGGTCGGTAGGAAACGGCAAGCAGATAGGAGAAGAGGGGGGAGAAAAACGAAACAGAAGGAAAAGGAAAAGATGCCCAGCAGAATTGGAGAGGACGGCAGCAGGAGCACAAGGCTAGAAAAGGACAGAGGACCGCCCCAAGGAGCATCACACTCCGGCAGCCGCCCACTAAGCCCCCACACGGCGACAACGAGCTGAGCGGGGAGGGGGAATGTTCTTAGAAATTATACCTTTCTTCTTCTTGGATATGGTTCCCGTTAACTTTTTCATAAGATTCTTCACTTAATGAACTTGCCATCTAATTTAACTTCCTAACTCTTGAGTATTTTCTTCCCCTTTGTATTCAGACAACTTGTGTAATTCTTTCTATCCTCAACTTCAGGTATTCTGTTTGGCCTATATTGTTCAACTATCAATTTTCTGGTTTGTTTTTAATTATATAACCTGTATAACATTGCTTTAATATTTGATTTCTTGTCACACTGTCCATCATTACTGTCTTGGTTTACAAGAGGTTACCTGTACTTCTTTGCTTTCATTTGGTCATCAGAGGAGTGTGGAGACTGTAAACCAAATACTGCTGCTACTGTTGGTGAGCATGATGACGTGCCTGAGCAAGAGCTATCTCCTGGTTTGTAATGCAGAAAATGATGCCACGCTGGTGCATTTTTTCTTTTATTAATTCTACGACGCATAGGGATTGGCTGGTCTGTCATTATCTTAGGTTTTGGTCTCCTTTTCTTTCCAGACTCTGGATATACCTCTTGAATGAATTCTTTTGGCAAAATTTGGTTGGGGTCAAAATTTTTGTTTTTTATGGTAAAATTTCTCTTGATGCACACAACATCACCATTCTCTTTTAGTTCAAAGGATAAGACCTCTCTAGGAATCTTGCTGCAACACATTTTGATGAAACGCAGAACTGAGGACATATATTTTTCACAAATATTGGGATCCCAACCAGATTCCTGAAAATAAAACAAAATATTGACATGCAATTATAGTTGTGTTTATGAGCACTCTTATTTACAGCACATTATTATTATGATTATTTACTTCCCCTAATTGATTTAATTACAGCTCCAGAAAGGATTCCATAGTAATTTTTTCCTTTTATGCTCATTAAACATGTGGGATACACTGCCGTATTCCCTAATGAAAATGCTTCAGAATATTTGCCCATGATATCTTATATTCCATCCAGAAGGCAACTATCAGGGGAAAGTGCCAAGCCGTTATGACTCCATAGCACTTTGAAGGGATAAGGATTAGGGATGGGACAGGGAGATGGAATGATGCCTAACCATTTGGACGGTTGGGGATTGAATGTCGATCTGCATGAATCGAGACTGTTGCACTACCGTCCAGCCCAAGTTATTGGACGTCTGAGCTATACAGTATACGGTTTTTCAAGTTCCGGAAAATATCGATATGAGAAAAGTTATCGTTTACTAAGAATTGTGATTGTAAAAGTGGCATTATAATCCAAAATTAATTCTATCCTATTATTAAATAAAATGAATGAATGCATCATATGTGGCACTAAAAATAAATGACATGACAAATTTAGCTACAAAAACCATTGGAATTTGTATTTAGTTATCAAATTATAATTCAGGGATGAGTGGGATGATGTATGTAAATCTACGAGACAAATATGTTAAGATCTAAAACTACGAAACTATTCATCAAACCTAGGCCAGCACATCAAGGCAGAAAATAGGAAGTAGTTCTAGTTTAATAGACATGTGACTGAGCATTCAACATATATTTAATTTTTAAGGTAGTCCTCAGTTCCAATAATCCTTGGAATACCTAATTCACTCAGCTGTCATACCGCACTATAGTACAGGTATAAGCAATTTGTAATGCTATAAGTATATGAAAAATCAAGTTTTTTCTTTGCAAATTAGTAAACAAAATTATGGAATTACAAAAAAAAAAGTCCATAAACTGTTTTTTATTGGATAGACAGAATTTCATGTTTATTGAATTTAGATTTTGTCATATACAATCCTGAAACGTGGATAGTGTTTCTCCATAATCTTATAATTTCTCCTGTGGAAGTCAATTGTATGTCTCAAACTTAATTATTTAACTGCTCCAAAACTCTTTTGATTAATAACTTGTTTGTAACAAGGTTTTCTCTCATATTAATACAGTAACAGCCAGAGAAATGTCAAATCTTGATACAATTCTTGTATGGATTTCAAAGCAGGACTCAGTTATCACTAATTTATATACTGAAAAAGTCAACTGATGTAAGCTGTCTATATTTTGGGGGAACCCCTAATATGTTAATTGATGTATCCATAAGTTAACAACTAAAAATTGATTTATTGAATGTGCAGAATTTAACTAAAAGGACAATCTTCTACTTGAAGTTGACATTTACCATATATTCTACCCAACCTTCCATGGCATTGTAGGCAGAATTTTTTTTTAATTTGAGTCAGTCATTGAATATACAATACTGTACAAAAATAACAGTACTGTATATATAATGAAGCAAAATTAATTAAATTCAAACTACAGCAGTGCCATATTATAATTCCCTAAGTGTAGTTACAGGATGAGAGCTACGCTTGTGGTGTCCCGTCTTCCCAGAACTCTGTCGTATAATAATTATTGAATATTGAATCATAACGCTCTGAAATTACTGACAGTTTTGGCCTCCACCACCTTCTCAATTAACTTGTTCCAACTGTTTACCACTCTGTTTGCAAAAGAAAAGTAACCCAATGGTGGCCCAATTTGGTTCATGCATAAGCAAATCTACCCATCTTGTCCACACCCGCCACCTCCTCTCTCTCTCTCTCTTACCTTACAGCACCAGAGTTTTGCTAAAAGAGGCAGATTGGCAGAAGAAAATAACCTCAAAGCTGTTACCGTCTCTCCCTCAACCTCACCACCTATTATGTTGGGAACTCCTCCAAACTGGTAGTCTGCCCACCAATCTAACATCTCGTTCCTGAAGTAAATAAAAATAGTGTATGTTACTTTTCATACAGTAAGATATTTTAGCTTAACCCACAAGTAAATTTAGGCTTTCAAACATGAAGAAAAAATTTTGTTTTTCATAATAGAGTTTAAAAATGAATACTATCTGAAGAAAATATAGGAGTACAGAAAATAACATTCAAAATCCAGGTATTGTGTAGATGTGGAGGTTGCTATGATTGACTGATGCCTTCTATCTTATATTTTGGCTAATCAGACAAGCAATGAGTCACCCTACCCCTGATTGTGAAACGTGACCAATGAACAAGGTTCCGTAATATTCAGGACATCACCATATTATTTACTGTACGTATTATTCTTGAGGTAATGACAAATATTGAAGATAACTTACAAGACTTATCACCTAACCTAATACTGTATATACTGTAGTAATATCACCAATAATAATAAAACACTAATCATGTCTAGGTGAGTAGGATCAAAGACTTGAACAAATTTTCCCCACTCTACATCATCGTTACACTTTAAGTAAAACTAATCTAACCAAATGCAACCCAACTCAGCCTATCCTAACCTAACCAAAATAAGAGATAAAACTGTTTTATATATGGTAATGTATTGTATGTACACGGTGTGTTGTCACTATGGCATCATAATATTATTCCTGCTCAGGTTTTATATCTAACTGGTTTTGGTTAGATTATGACTGTCAGTAGAGCTAATATAGTCACTGATGCATACATGACTATTACACACAATAATCCAACAAATTTTGTAATCTGATGCATGTTCAGCTACTGATAACATTTCATCAAGTAATGATGGACCTCTTAGTGCTGGTGATAACCTAAACTGAGCTGTGTTACTTACCACTGGTATTCTTTCCATGATTTAGTGTCAGCTGGTGCTTTGTAGAGATGGGTCTTATATGTGACCGTTCTCACCGATTCCGCAATTCTAATTTTATATTCATGAGCATCAGCCTCAGGGGGGACAACATTTATTTCTAAACCTGATTGTGGTTTATGCCACTGGAATAGCTTAGTCCAATGGTCCATTATATCCACTTTAGAACTGTACAACAAACCTAAGCCATCTACTTCACCCCAGCAGACATTCCAGTAATCTCCTCTGTATTTAACACTTTCCTTGTTGTAGCAACAATCCTCTGTGTAAAAGAAATTTATTTTAATACATTACTGTAATTATGTATGTCTCAACTAAGTCCCATTTAATGCTGAGTTTTATGTAAGTATCTTATAAATTACTGAATAAAATTTAAGTTCTTGGATATGATAAATCAATGTTTAGATAATCTTCATTATACTTATAGTTAATTAGAAACAACTCAAATGTTTAAACTGGAGGCTGTCACTGAAAATTTAGTACTTCATTTCCCCATTAGAGAGCTTTTAAATAAATTTAAGGCCAAATAAGTTCTCATCTGTTAACATCTTTTTGACAAGTAACTGATATTCTTGTCTTCCATTTGATACCTTTTCCCATAATCTTTTAAATATGAGATAATGTATTAAGTCTTTGTTAATATGTGCATCTTTGCATGCAACATATTTTAATCCCTTTATTGCTTACATTTGAAAGTTGTACCCTTTTCCCAAAGCGAGATTTTCTCAAATATTAAAAAACCACCACTGAATGTAATGAAACGCCATTCTCTTGGTGAGCCCAGAGGCCCCCTGGAGCTATCAGACTGATATGTTATATATTACTCTGGGGTTCAGCTTACCAGGGACCACAAGTCAGAACCTGGCCCCCCTCAGAGAGGCACAGGGAGCAACGGCCTATCGAAACCCCCATGTGGTTGGGGGCATTCCATGTCTGCCATCGACCGAGGTTAGGCACCCAGAAAGGTAGGAATAACAAAACAAACCACACTTGGTAAGAAAATTGCAACTGAAGACCGAACAGAGGCAGAACTCCCCCAACACCCAAGGAAACAAGCAAACGTCATCCCCACCCCTGGGAGAGGGGGGGAGGGAGACCCGGAACCTCCCATGCACTGGCTACTCACACCTCCATTTCAGAGGCTGAACATCAAAAGCAAAATAAAACTGCCAATGGAGGGAGGGTGGGTGGGTGCCAGGGAGCATTTGGGGGGCTCACCCAGAAAATGGCATTTCATTACATTCCACGTTGGTTTTCTGTGGGGAGCACCATTGCCCCCCCCCCCCCAGGAACTATATAACCAAAGATAAGCAAAAGAGGAACTTATCCAGGAGGCTGCTGCCACATGCTCCTCAACTTGAAGTCGAGACAACTGTCTGCAACCTGTGACCCAAAGCCACACACGCACAACCAAGATCAGGAATGTTGAGTGGGATAAATTGAGTGGGATAAATGGAGTGGCGAACGGAGAGGGCCAAAAGAGAACCTCTTGACTCAGGGTTATGACCAGTGAGGGTGGACTGTGACAAATAGGAGGGATGACCAAAGGGAGGGGGAGACAAATGATGGCAAGGGGAGAAAGGGGAGGGGGAGAAAAGGGAGAGGGGAGAACCATGGTCTGTACAGATCATTACACTGGAAACCAGAGTGTACAAAATGGAATGGACTGGTTTGAGGATGGGTTGGATATGACTCAAGAATGGGAAGCCATCTTAAGATGGCATCAGGGAGCCACCAGCCCACACGCTCCAAGTCCCCACCCCCCGAGAAAAGTTACTGAGAGCAGCAGCAGGTAAATATATTGCTAACTACAAATTTCCTGCTAAAGAAATACAATACCACTTTACCTTTCTGAGGTAGTACTTGCCCTCGTAAGAAGGCATTGAAAGCTGCCTCGTGGGATATTTTGTTTTTTTTTCTTTTTAAAGAATGATCATCTTGAATATAAACTCTGCCATCATCATACCTGGAAAATTAGTTATGATTAAAAAAAATTTGATTTTGTTTTTGCTGTACAGTAAATTATAATATTACCACCACTACTACTACTACTACTAAACACAATTGATGTCCCCCAAAACACCAGCGTTGAATGTAATGAAATGCCATTTTCTTGGTGAGCCCCGGAGGCTACCTGAAGCTATCCAAACTAACATGTGCAATATTAGTTTGGGTCATTAGTTACGGGAGTTGTTTTATGCCTACCGGAGACCAGAGCAAGAACCTAGTCCACTCAAAGAGTTGCAGGAAGCAATAGCCATATGAACATACTAAATTTAGAGTACTGTATGTCATGTCTGCCATCACCGGTAAAAGCACCCAGAAAGATAGGCGGACCCATACAACCCTCTATTGGTGAAAATTGCAGCCTACATCCGAACAGAGCTAAAGAACCCCCTCCTCTAAATCAAGTAAAGAAAACAAAAACAAGTAAATCGTTATCCAACTGATGCGCCTGCTCATTAGGCTCCCCCCCCCCCCCCAAATGGGAGAGGGGAAGCCTGCCCAGGTGAGCCAGAAGCTCACCCCACCAGTCCGCTAAATGATGAAAACCGCCGACCAGAGGGAGGGAGGGTGTCAGAGCCTCCAGGGGCTCCCCCAGAAAATGCTGTTTCACTACATTCAATGCTGGTTTCCTGTGGTGTGCCCCGTTGACTCCCTGAAGCTAACTGGTCATAGATAAGGAAAAACAGACTTACCAGGGAGGTGGCAGCACCGCAGGTCTCACGAGGAAGAGGAGACAACAAGCCACAACAGATGTACCAAAGCAACACAAGGCTGCAGAAGGCCCGGAACGTTGACAAGATATCTGGCGGCCAGGACCATGTTCAATTTCGTAAACCCCCGTGCCCGAATGTCAACCCAAGACATATTCCCAAATACAGCAGCAAGAGCAGCATATTTCCTCACATGGGCATGATGGAAGACCGTAGGATGACTAAATTTGATAACCCTAATTATAACCCTTATGACAAGGGCCATAAAGAGCATGGCCCTTGTCACTGAACTAGTGGCCCACAGGTAGCAACGTAAAGCAACAACCGAACTCAAAACATGATGCACCCCCGTCCTACCCAAGCATCAACAACCCACGGACCCCTCCGGAAACTAGCCATCTCATTCTTTGTCAGAAAAGAAGGAGAGAGCTGCAAAATTAATAAATCGACCCACCCGAAGACCAAAGGAACAGAACCCTCCTGTGCTGGAGAAAAGCATGAAGCTCCCTAACCCGACCCCCAGAGGCTAAAACCAACAAAAACCAGCATTGAATGTAATGAAACACACGACCTGATGATAAGGGGTCGTGGAACACCAACACGTGTACACCGCCCATAAACAAATGATCTCACTTTGGCCACGCTCAGGACTCCATGCATTGACTGATGCCAGAAAGTTATACATATCCATTCAGCCTGGATAGCTCTGGGGAGCCGATAGGGCTCCCCCCAGAAAGGCCAAGAAAGAAAGGATAAAACACCCCTAACCGACACGAAGTGAAAGAAAATGGCAGAAAGACCACCAGGAGACTTCATACAGTCAATAAGAAGAAGATTGCAAGTGGAACACCATCAAAGAATCCACTGGATCACCAGAAAAAGGGTGATACATCCACATCAAAAACCCACAGACATGAAGAGCAGAAGAGGAAGTCAAACCAGCGAGGTACCTCACCGGCCCGACCCGCTGAAAGAGGTGGATCTGCAGATAAACTCTTGGGTTCGGACACCAAGCAAGCAGCACCTGAAACCAAGGCTGGACCGGCCACCATTAGGCCAGGAGAATCACTCTCTCCCAATAAGATTCGAGCCTAGCAAAAACCCAGAGCAACAGCTAAACTGGGGAAGAAAGTTAAAGGAACAACACCCCTTCCCCCACCCACCCAGTCCTGCTGAAAAGCATCAACCGTAATGGTCTCACAGTCAGGGAATGGGTAGACGTAGGGACCACTCCGACGCGCAGAGGTTCACCTCAAACTGCCCAAACGTCTAACAAAGCCACAGGAAGGAGACAGCGATGACCTGCCACTCTGTGGAAAGAGGAATGAAGTGAGACATGCTGGCTGCCAGGACGGTGGCCACTCACTGAATGTGAACGGCACGGAGAGCTAAGCCCCGAGAACCCAGAAGGAGGTGGGTGGAGCGACCGGCTATAAAGAGCCATGGATCGCGGGGATCCATGTAGGATCATATGTTGTAGACTGTGGGACTGTGTAGCATCATATATTTGGTACTTACGTAACAGCCTTAATCTTCCAGTGTCTTATGGTTCTACGATATGGAGTCAAATACAGGTTGATGAAAACTTCTTTTAGAGCAATAAAATCTGGCATTTTAACTTGCAATATTTCTCTGTAAAAAAATAAGAATTTTCGGTAATAGTTTAACATATATGGATGCAGCTTCCTCAGCTACAGGCTCTCATTATCACTCCTAATAATTATACAAAATCATACTTGTGAAGAACTTTTGATACTATTTCACCTCATTATGCATAAAATTAAGTGGAAAAACAGACAATAGTTGAATGTTATTGTTGTGAGAAAGTAAATACTTTACCACAATCCCTTGTTATGCTGTATAAAAGATAAATGCATTCAAAATATACTACAAAGGAAAACTATGTTGAACTTGAGTGCAGTAACCCTCTAATAATACTTGCAGGAGGCGTGCAACCCTCACAAAGATAAAATGGAAGAAGGAACAGCAGAGTGGCTTTACTAATGCTCATTCATGCTTAACAAACTTACTAGTTTTTTACATCAAAGGCTATGTGAAACAATCAATAGTGGAAAAGATTTTGACAATGCAGTATATACTTAGGCTTTAGTAAAGCCTTTGATACTGTTCTTCAGGAAAAAACTGATTATGAGGGTAGAGATGATGGTATTCAAGGGGATATTTTAAATACGATTAGGCCAAGGTTATTTAAAAAAACCAGCGTTGAATGTAATGAAACGCCATTTTCTGGGTGAGACCCGGAGGCTTCCCAGAGCTTATTAGGCTGATATGCTAATGTCAGACTTTGGCATCAGTCATGTGTATGGAGTTCTATGGGCCTACCGGGGACTTCACCCCACTTCTGGGGTGTGGAGTTTTCAGATGCATTTACGCCTGGGGACCATTTAGCCTTGTTCGCATTTGTGTTGCTCACATGGCTGTTTGTAATACACTCGGTGGTTGCTCGATCGGTTGTGCGGGAGTCTGAACTTCGCTGTGCTGGTCTACCCGCTGGGTTGGGTTTGGCTTTGGGGTTTGTTTTGGTTCCTTTGGGGACGCCCCTTCCACCTCTCTAGCGATCGTTGGATTTGTCCTCCGGGGACCATATGTTAGTGCTGCGTCGCCGGCTTCCTCTTCGGGGTTTTCGGGGTTCAGTGCCTTGGTGCCTCCCCGAGCCTTCACTCTATGTGTTCACGGACAGGTCGTCTCTCGACTGGGACTGTGTGACCAGTGCTGGGTGAGTGAGTCTGGGTGAGTCCCGGAGGCTCCCCGGCATCCCTCCCTCCCCCCGGTCGGCGGTGTTTTTCGCGTTTTTGACATCCAGCCTAAGAACTACTGTAATGGTTGGGTCACCGACGGTGGGGTCTGGGGCTCCCCCTTCCCCCTCCCGGGGAGGGGGGGGGGTTACGCAGACGGCAGCGCGGCGGCATGATGACGTCATGATGGTTATCTAATTTTCGCTTGAGGAGTTCTGTCCACCTGTTCAGTCTTCGGTCACAATAGTTTACCAGAATAGGGGTTTGTTTTGGGGCGCCTACCTTTCTGGGAGCCTATCCTGGTCGATGGCAGACATAGCATAGAATGCTCCCAATTATACGGGGGGTTTCTATAGGCCATTGCTCCTCGTGCCTCTCTAGAGGGGGCCAGGTTCTGGCTCATGGTCCCTGGTAGGCAAGAACTCCATGCATTGACTGATGCCAGAAAGTTATACATATCCATTCAGCCTGGATAGCTCAGGGGAGCCTCCGGGACTCACCCAGAAAATATATATATACACAGTATATATAAAAGAATGAGTATTTTTACTCACTTTTCATTCTCATAAATTATAGCACCTGTGTCATAAATGTGGCGAAGTATCCACCACAAGAGTCGGTGGTAATGAGTATAACCATCTTCAGCACAACCAATATGCTCAGCTGGTTTTAGCTTATTCAGTGGAAAATAAACCTGCAATTACAATATTATTTAGTGTTTCAGTTGCATTCAAATTAACCTTAAAATGGTTGCCAAGTAAACTAAAGTAGGATACATATGCAGTTATTAGCTTATCACTCACTCTGATTATATTTGCCTACTATGTTCTTTATTAACAGATACACATTTAACCTTAAAGAGAAAATCTATCTGTGGCAACACTCTTAACTCTCAACTCAAGTGAAAACTTCAATCCCATTGCCTAGAATGGTTGGCGAGGCATCATTAACTCTCTTAAATGCAGTCATCATCATCATTATTTGTTGATATCCTAACCCAATGTGGTCATCTTCATTTTCAATTTTTCATTAGTACTCATGTTTATATCAATGATGTTAGTAGAGTATGGTTATAAAACATCAGTTGAATGTAATGAAGTTGACCACAACCCACAAACATATTCTGGACTATCAATTATACTTGCTTGATATGAGGTTATCATGTACCAACAGCCTGCGGGTATCTGAAAATCATGAATTTGTCTTTCCTGCCAGTATTTAAATTCATGCCTGGATAACATTCCCAAATCATAGCAGAAGAGTGGGTTGTGAAACACTTCTATGCTGTGCCAGAAATAGATTTATGTACAACAGGATTATATATTATGTTGTAAGCCTATAATATAATGCTGGTACTTAATCACTGTTTTTGTTAAACACTATATTGTGTAAACTAATTAACGAAAGATTGAACATAAAAATAAAAAATAAAATACATCCATTACATCAAAATGGATGTATTATAACCATATTGTATTTGTCATTGGTATAACTACAGAGCAATAATAAAGAAATTGGTTAATGACTATACCACAGTGGCCCAGATCAACAAAACAATGACTGCATATGGTGTTCATATAAATTATCACTATTCGCCAAATAATTTGTAATTAAGATTGAGTGATAAGAATATCAGTAACACTAAACCTACCTTCATGGGTTTGTGATCTCTCGGTAAATAGGCTTCATTAATTAAGTTGCAGTCAGAGATTTTGTGAAGATTGTGAGCAATCCAGTTCTTGGAAATAATCAAGGGTCCCTTCACATAGTTTATGAAAGACATCTGCTTTCTTTCTTTCGTGCCATCATCGCACCTTCTGGCCTCAAGGCCTTTAATGTCAACATAACCCCCATAATATTTACTTTTGTCATGTTTCTTTATACTTCCAGTCATCATATAATACATTGGTAAACCAACTTTATCTTTCTGCATGTTCTTCATTTTAGGATTATCCAAGAACCTTTTATCATAGATATTTGTTATAAACAGCGTCTCATTTTCATCATATCGATGCTTTTCTTTTTTATTACTTGGATAATGGGGTTTCCATTTGCCAATATAATCTGCAATATGAAAGTTTTTGTAATTGAAATAATATTAAAATTAACTGCATTATTACAAATATACTGTAATAAAGTACTGTAGTGTGTTAACTATTGGACAATCAATATTATGCCCTGTCATTTACAATGAAGCATTGTAGGAAAAAAATTAAATCTTGTGTGTGAATGAATTAAAAGTACAGTACATCTATCAGAACATGCTCATTTATTGTTATTACCACTTTGTATTTGTAGGGATTGAGGGCACGGCAAGACATTTAGGCATGTTTCTTTACACTAGATATATTTGTTCACCTAGCAGTAAATAGGTGAATTGCTAGGTGAACAAATCATATATGTTCATATATATATATATATATGTTCACCTATATATCTGTTCACCTATATGATATATTTTCACCTATATATCTGTCAATTGTTAGCTAGGTGGACGTCAATAAGTACACATAAATTGGGTAAGTTTAGATTTTGGAAAGGCTTGAGTAAATACTATTTTGAAAATAATGTAGGGTTGTTCATTTATGGAATAGTTTGTGGAGTAAAATAATAGACATGGGATCACTGAAATTTTTCAAGCATAGGTTAAACACATACATGAATGAGTTTAGGTGAATATAATAGGAGCTGCTTCATATAGGCCAATAAACTTTCTATAATTACTTTTATTCTTCTGTCTAACAGGCTTCCTGTCTCAGACATTGAGTATTCATACTAGAGAGAATGAGGGAATGTGTTTAGGGGTATGATTGTGTAATTCAGGAATATGTTGGTTTAACCCTTTAGTTTTTTAAAGTGTCAAAAACCCTTCCTTCAGTATGGGTATGTCAAAAAAAAAATCGAAATTGTACTTACTTTGGCTGCTATGGGGTCCGTAAGTTGGCGTGTGACGTCATCATTCCCCGTTCGCCCGTGACGTACGCTCCCGGGGCTAGTAGGGCGCCTGGGGCGGGGCGTGCGAGTTGCCGCGAATATATTTTTGTTCATTTTTTACGCACAGTTCCAAATACATTTTATTTGTTTTTACGTGCTAATCCTATGTATAATGAACACGTACGCTACACTATGGCAGTAAAACATCCGTACTGTCCGAGGACACTGTGTTACATGCATGACACATATGTTACACATATTTACCATGTATCATGCAAATTTATGTATACATACAATCTATTTACAGACTATACACTGTCACACACTATATACATTCACCATCAACACATTCAGAACACCGCGAGTGTGAGCTGTCACACCCAGCCAGCCCTCCCGCACTCCTCCAACATTGCCCCTCCCATCATACAGTTATTCACACCAATGTTTCATGTTCATTTATGTATATTTACAACATATGTACACACTATACACAGTCACACACTATATACATTTACCATCAACGCATTCAGAACATTGAGAGTGTGAACAGCCACACCCAGACAGGCCCTCCCTCACTCTAACATCTTACTCGCCAACATTACTCCTCCCACCATACTGTTATTGTTTTTAATACACTACTTACACATGTTATATATATCTATCTACATGTTTTATTTACCAGAACTATGCAAGTAAGCCGGTATTGTGTCCAAACAGTACAGTGGCCACCATACACAGCATGAGAAATCACACAGCAGACAGCAGACGACGTTACGATTACGACGTCACCTCCCTCACCAAAATAGCTCCACTCAACATACTCCTGTTGCTGTTATTACACTATACACACACTGTATATACCCATGTACATGTGTGCTCCCCATAGCGAACCACGAAGCTAGTATGGTGAGCAAAACAAGAGTGGTTGCCACACACACACAGTGAGGCTACCTCAATTCTCTCCCTTCCTCCCTCCCTCACCAAAATTCCTCATTCCACAATACTATGCACAATGCTAATTATAACCACAATTCTGGTCACTAATTTCTGTAAATGAATAATTGACCACAAGTTTATTTTGAAAAGGAACCTAAGAAGTTGTTTGAAGATTCCTAGATGGACAAAATAATGCTGTGGTGCTGTGGCTAGCGCTGTGAACATCGTGAACAGCATTGAATCATTGATATTTGAACATTGTACCCAGTCATTATCACACTCAGGCTCTTCTATAATACTATCATGGCTAAATAATACAGGTTATATATATATTTTGCCATTATTAGGCGATGCTGTGGTCACACTCTGAACAGCAGTGCTGTGCGCTCATGCTGCGAGTGCCAGCCTTGGATGCTCACTCACTACTGAGGCTCTCACACCCGGGAATGTGAACCATGATTTTTTTTAAAGATAGCCTCTGTTTACAAGAGCCCTGAGGAAGCTGATGTGAACCCTATGTAGCCGCGGGAGTTATGAATGGAACGTGAAAAATACAAATACCTGGAGGCGCGTAGCACACCCCAGACATCGGCCTACAGGCTCGTTGCGCAGTTAAAGGGCTAAGTGCAGGATAGACAGAGATATGTATTTTAGTAAGTGCATATGCTACAGCATACAATGAGGATATACAAACCAGCATTGAATATAATGTATCACCTCTTTCTTGTTGGGCCTTGGTGGCTCCCTGTAGCTAGTCACACTGAGATAGCTACATATCTACTGTATAAGTCACTTCAGCCTTAGAAGTTCTTAATTGCCTACCAGAGACAGAACTTGGCCCCCTCACTGAGGGGGCAGGTAACAAGATTGTGATGATCACCCTCACAAAGTAAACAAAGAAAGTAAACATCCAGAAAGTAAACAAAGCAAAGCGGCATGTCATATGTACAAATACATGAACCCTTGTCAATAAACCCCACAATGCCTCCAACCTTGGAGCCTCCAAGAGGAATCAAAGACCCCCTTGCACCACTCTGGGCGAGGCACCCTACACAGTGGGTGAGCTTCTATGGGACGAAATGCCAAACCCACATGGGAAGTTACCTTGACAGGGCAGGGGTATCACTAGATGAGTGCTCTGGGAAGGGCTACCCTAAGCACATGTAGCTTGAAGAGAACACTTTCTAAAGTTCACACAACAAGTAAGGTTTGTAAACACATGGACTTGAAGCTAACACCAAATCATATAATGATACACAAGCAAATGGGTCCCCCACAGGACAGAGTCCAAAGGCTGACCAACACCCGTTTAGAAATAGTTTGGACCTGAAAGGCCGCTAACTCAAAGAGTAGTCCAAACTGTTAGACATCAGGAAAAAGACTGAGGAATGTTGACAGGGGAAGCCAGCAGCAGCTGGTGGTGGTGGTACCACCTGTTTTTGATCAGCTGTAACTAGGAGGGAGTTCGAACAAACTAGTGGATGGAATATTTGCAGTCATATACTGCTTCATTTTTCTTTTTATCTGACTCTTAGTTGTCTGAAAAACTTTGCTGACTTTCTGGATACTTTCCAAGTGAGGGTGACGATAATCATCCCCTGCTTCCTGCACTTCAGTGAGGGGGGCTAGGTTCTGGTCCCAGGTAGGCCAAACAGGATTCCAGCAACTGATATGGCCAAGTACCGGGGTGCCATCTCAGCGAGATAGCTAAAGGGACCCAGCCACCAAAGGGTTCTTACCAGAAAAGAGAAAAAATAAAGATTAAATCTTGTGAAATTAAGAAAATGGAAAAGGAAAAACAAAGAATTAACTATTATCACACAATAGGCTTACTCACTTATTTTCTCAAGTGGCTCCCAATATTTTAAATATACTGGTTGTGAATTGCATTTCTTCTTGCGACCTGGACGTCTCCTTGTCTGTTGTGAAAAACCAGGACTGAATATAATGAAACTCCATTTACCGGTAGTCCCTTGGTGCTAGCTACCTGGATAGCTCCACCCAATTCAATCCATACAAGGATCTTACAAGTTATTATAAGCCTACCAGGGAACAGAGGCCAAAACCTGGCCCCCTATGAAGGAGCACAAGGAGCAGGGAATATCAGCTCATCCTAAGCTGCTGCTCCTTGGGTTCTCTTCAATGTACAGTGCTGTTCACAGAAGTAAACTCGGCCAAGAGCAGAACAAATATATAAGCAAATGACTCTCTGCAGAACAAAAACAGTGTCTAAGATGGTCATCACTAATCTGAATAATTATGACTCAAAGAGATGGTGGGAATGAGGACTATAACCATGAAGTCATAAATGATTGCACCAGGTAAGTTCAGTGCAGTTGAAAGCTAGGGGATCGAGGAGGAGAGAGTGCAGACCCTTGGTGGTGTACAGGTGGAACTAATGAGAGGATTTCTTTGTGACCATGTGGATCATTTATATCAGGAGGGGGGGGGGTTTCTTTGTTTCATTTTCTATGCTTTGTTTACCTTGCTGATTATATATTTTGGTTTTGGTTACCTTTACGGTAACCATTTCATGGTTAGGGAGATTTAGTATTCCCTGCTCCTTGTGCCCTTTCAAGTGGGGTCCAGATTTTGGCCACTGTCCCTAGTAGGTTTACAATGATTCACAAGGACCTGGTGTAGGTATCCAGGTATCTAGCACTAAGGAGCCATCATACAAACCCTCACAGAAAACAGGACAATTATTTATACATGCTCAACTTTCAATGCTACATTTATGTAGCTTTGTACACAAATGTAACAACTATTCATCACAGAACTTTCTCTAAATACATTTCACAAAACATCCAGTTTGAGTAATATGTTTGAGTAATATGAAAAATGGCCTTCAGATCATTCTTCTGCTCCCTGATATTGCTTCATTATGTCAATTGGACAGGAACATACAGTCAGGAAGGATGACATACCTACACTGCATCACCATTGCAGGAATGGTTTCAAGTTGTCGCTTGCAGATTACCTTCAAGCTATATCTGCAAATACTCTTCGTGTTACTGTAAGCTCTACCTTGCTATACCATAAGACATGAAGGGTACTCTCTATTGTACCTTTTAGAACATTTACAGAGCTTGAAAACTTCTTCCTGGGACAACCACAGCAATATTTCTGTGATGGTGTGTCATCACTGGTTTTCCCTTGGAAATGCAATCAATACTAACAGAAGGTAACATAACTGATGTTAACTGTCTCTTACCTGCTACCTGCTTGATGGGGTTCTGGGAGTTCTTCTATTCCCCAAGCCCGGCCCGAGGCCAAGCTTGACTTGTGAGAGTTTGGTCCACCAGGCTGTTGCTTGGAGCGGCCCGAAGGCCCACATACCCACCACAGCCCGGTTGGTCCTGAACTTTTTTTAGAAAACAGTCTAGTTTCTCTTGAAGATGTCCACGGTTGTTCCAGCAATATTTCTTATAGTCGCTGGTAGGACACTGAACAACCACGGACCTCTGATGTTTATACAGTGTTCTCTGATTGTGCCTATGGCACCTCTGCTCTTCACTGGTTCTATTCTGCATTTTCTTCCATATCGTTCACTCCAGTACGTTGTTATTTTACTGTGTAGATTAGGGACCTGGCCCTCCAGTATTTTCCATGTTTATATTATTTGGTATCTCTCTCATCTCCTTTCTAGTGAGTACATTTGGAAAGCTTTGAGACGATCCCAATAATTTAGGTGCTTTATTGCGTCTATGCGTGCCGTATATGTTCTCTGTATTCCCTCTATTTCTGCAATCTCTCCTGATCTGAAAGGGGAAGTGAGTACTGAGCAGTACTCGAGACAGGACAACACAACTGACTTGAACAGTACAACCATTGTGATGGGATCCCTGGATTTGAAAGTTCTCGTAATCCACCCTATCATTTTTCTGGCTGATGCAATATATGCTTAGTTATGCTCCCTAAATGTTAGATCGTTGGACATCATTATTCCCAAATCCTTGACATGCTGTTTCCTACTATGGGCAGATTCGATTGTGTTCTGTACCCTGTATTATGTTTCAGATCCTCATTTTTGCCATACCTGAGTACCTGAAATTTATCACTGTTAAACATCATGTTATTTTCTGCTGCCCAATCGAAAACGTTGTTGATATCTGCTTGTTATTTTTTAATGTCTTCAGCAGAGGTAATTTTCATGCCGATTTTTGTGTCATCTGCAAAGGATGACAAGGCTGTGACTTGTATTTTTGTCTATATCTGATATGAGAATAAGGAACAGCAGTGGTGCAAGGACTGTACCTTGAGGTACAGAGCTTTTAACTGCACTTGGACTCGATTTTATTTGACTGTTACACTTTATGTTCTGTTCTACAGGAAATTGAATATCCAGCATCCTACTTTGCAAAGTCTGTGTATACATCTGCATTTTGCTTTTCTTGTAGAGCTTCTGTGATTTTGTCATAGTGGTTGAGTAACTGACAGACAGGATCTGCCCGCTCTAAATCCATGTTGTCCTGGGTTGTGTAGCTCATTATTTTCCATAAAACTAGAAATTTTATTCCTAATCACTCTTTCAAAAACTTTTATTATGTGTGATGTTAGTGCAACTGGTCTATAATTTTTTGCCAAGGCTTTACTACCACCCTTGTGCAGAGGAGCTATATCTGCAGATTTAAGTGCAGCTGGTATCTCCCCTGTATCCAGACTCTTTCTCCATATTACGCTGAGTGCTCACGCTACTGGTACTTTACATTTCTTTATTAATATTGAATTCTATAAGTCAGGCCCAGGAGCTGAGTGCATGGGCATATTGTCAATTTCTCTTTCAGTCTTCCGAGTTCGTGTTAATATCCATTATATTATCTGCAGCTTGAATGTCATTCATAAAGCTGTAAAAAAAATTGTTTTCCGGTGTGACAACTCAATAGTTCAGATTTCTACTTTCTAATTTCGTTGTACGTCGGTATATGTAGTTTGGTCCTCATCGTTACTATAAGTACTATCAAAACAGGAGGATGGGCTGAATATTTTGCAGTACTTTTTAAACAATTATCTTCACTAATCCCATCCATGCTTCTTAACACCTCTATCTCCTACAGAATAAAACACTTCTTTAGCATGTAATATAAACTCATTTCTTAATTCTTTGTTCCCCTTTACAGAGCCATATTCCTCCCTACTTTGCCATTTACTGTATAGCATTTAGTATTCTAGAACTAATATTTCTTTAGTAAAAGCTTAAAGTGCCTACCTGCATTTGGTCCACTGGTTTATCACTATGATGTAGTGGGAAAACCAAATCTAAAAGCACCTTAATTTCAGTAAAGTAGTCATGCATCTGATGCACAAATTGTTCATGAAGCTTTTTCTCAGTTTCCATGCTCTGAAAATAGATACAAATAATTCAGATATGGTATTACAGTACTATGAAAGGCTAATTCATGATGAGATATTACAAAGAAATTATTTGCATGTCTAATGGACTACAAGTGCAAACAAATTTATCTTAAGCAGCAGATGACTAGAAAATATTTATCATTCAATATAACTACTGTATTTTCAAAAGCAAATATAAAATAATATAGCAGTGAAATTATGAACTCTTGATACCAAAATGTACATAAATGGTTGAATTGTGGGATGAGCATTATTCATGTTTTGTTCAAAGTGCATTGACTTTGGACATCATAATATTACATGGCCAGCACAAAGCAGCCAGATTATGAAGTTTTTTCTCCTCCATCTTTAGTTCAGTTCAAATAAGCTACTGACTACAGGAAAAATTACTATTCCTTTTTGGTTCAAATATAAAACTACGATAATCAATTACATGTTAAAATAAAAAAATATAAAAATATGTCATTATTAAATGTAATGAGAATACCTTTTTCTGGTTAGGCCTGGGTGGCTCCCTGAAGCTAGCTCCGTACATGAGTTACATTAGCCCCTAGGAGTCCTTAACCCCCCACCCCCTTCCCGGGGAGGGGGGTTGCGCAGACGGATGCGCGGCGGTTGTGGTGACATGTTTGTTTCCTTGTTTTTAATTGGGGGAGTTCTGTTTGCTAGTTCGCCTTTCGGCTTGCAATTTTTGACCAGCAGTAGTTTGTTTTGAGATTCCTACCTTTCTGGGTGCCTGACCTGGTAGATGGCAAAGACTGCTTCCAATTACACGGGGATGTCTTTAGGCCATTGCTCCTTGTGCCTCTCTTGAGGGGGCAAGGTTCTGGCTCTGGTCCCCGGTAGGCTTAGAACTCCTTCGATTGATTGTTGTCACGGTTTAATATATACACATCAGCTCGGTATAGCTCCGGGGAGACGAAGGGGCTCTCCACAGAAAAGTGATGAAAACCTAAGAGCCAGGGCCCAAGCGGAATCAAAGGAGAGAGCGAGCACTGCCTGGCGACACGCAAGGTGAGAGGCAAAGAACAGACACACCTCTTCCCGCGCAAACAGCTTCAACAGCGTGGCTGATGCCCCAGGCGAGGGCCCAGAACCAGACGTCACAACATCCTCCCCAAGCCTGTCCAAGGACAACTCAAGAAGGGAAAAGAATCGCAAGACCAAGGGCAAAGGTCTTGTGATTCAAGACCTTTGTATTGCGTGCAAAGAGCATGCAATACCTCAGCCGCCAAAGACGCCGAAAGGGCAGGAATCGGCACGTGCAGCTGCACAAGGCCAACATCCCAAGGAAGCACATGGGTGAAAAGGCATTAAGGCACTAAAAATCACCTCCCCCCTCCCCAGTAAACCTGCAGAACAGTAGCAGCCTCCTGCAATTCGAGCATGCGGGTCTGACAAAACCCATGCCACGCTCTCTGCGAAAGAAAGGGCAGTCTGCTAACCAGGAAGATTCCAGAACCTCGTAACACATCCAATATGGGAAAGCAGAGCTGTACTCAAACGAGGACGGATCCATCACAGAGGCAAAATCTGGGTCTCGCAGGAGTTAAGGAGCAAGAGCCTCCCGAACCGCCTTAGGCGGGACTCGAGAGGCAGAAAACCTCCGGAAAGAAAGAGCCGAGGAACCCAAGGGAACCTGGGGAGGAGCTGACCCCAAATGAAACTCGTACAGGGAAGGGGGGTTAAGAACACCCCTCCCCCTGCAACAACTTACCCCGCAAAGAGGGCAACAAAACCCAAGCAAGATCAAGGAACCCAAGCCCCCCAGGACGACTCTTCCCCAACCCCAGAAGCCTCCAAGCCAGACCCCGGGGCAGAGCCATCCTCCACACCTTCTACCCCTGAAGAGTCCAGGGAAAAGGCAGCAAAGAAGGGGGAGGGTTTGCTGGTAGGACCCAGAAGCCATGGTAGGAGGAGCAGGCTTGAATGCCTCCGTCTCTGACTCGAATGGGGCAGCCCGCGAAGCCGCCCGAGTCTCACCACCAACTAAACCCTGCCCCGACTCCGAAACCCTCAGATGTTCAGGAGCCAGGAGCAGGGCGAGAACCGCCAACCAAGGAAGGACTCCCGGGCATGGACAGTAGTACTCGCTTGTTTCCTTATGCTAAAGTAAGAGCAACTAACACTCCCAAGTCAGGGTCCCTAAAACCAAAACAGGGCAGCCCGGAACATTTGAGCGAGCAACCAACCTAGCGCTAGGATGTTGCAACAACCTGAACCTAAAATACAATGCGGAAGCCGCCTGAACCCTAATCTCAGTTACAGTAGAATGAGTGAACTGGAGCATGAGCAGAGAACATGTCTCGCGAGACTCCGCAGGAAAGGTGTCGTTGACCCAACAGGCAGCATGATGGAGGCAAAACAGGAAACTGTCACCCTGAGACAAGGGCACAGTACAGTATAACCTTCAAGCTTGCACAAGGCGAGGTGGGACTCGCAAGACACATCCATCAGTCAACCAAGCATCGATGGGGTTTTTGCCTACTGGAAGCCCAGGCATGGTGCTGCTAAGCCGGTGGACCCCAAATGTAAACAAAGATTGAAATGGGCTATAAACTGAACTCCTGTGATGTGTACAAGCATAGGGGCCTAGAGGAGGACCACCAAAATACCCTAGGTGGACTAATAGTGAAACAAGGCAGCTCTCCCCTGCCCCCTCCCCCTCCTGAGGAGGGGAGGGCTGCAGTGACAAGCAGCACGGACGACGCCCGAGAGAGGCGAGAGGTACTCGCTTCTTAACTGTCATTCAATGGGAGTGAATGACGTTTGCTTGTTTCCTTATGTTTTGGGGGGAATTCTGTCTCTTTGTTCAGTCTTCGGTTGCAATTTCTTACCAGGTGGGGTTTGTTTTTGTTATGCCTAATTTTCTGGGTGCCTAACCCTGGTCGATGGCAGACATGGAATGTTCCCAAACACATGAGGGTTTCCATAGACCATTGCTCCCTGTACCTCTCTGAGGAGGCCAGGTTCTGGCTCATGGTCCCCGGTAGGCAGAACTCCATTAACTGATGTCCCAGACTAATAAAGCTATCAGTCTGATAGCTCCAGGGAGTCGGAGGGGTACCACAGAAAACAGCCTTGAAAAAGGGATTGTGGACTGAAGGGATGATTGTGAACCAAGAGAAAAAGCGAAAGACCAACACCTGATCCAGAGATAATATATATAATATATAATGAAAGGGTAATTAGGATACTCATTAGGCTATGGACCACTTAGGTAATGTATAATTACCTATACATACATACATACATGCATACAAAAATTTATATTTATTTAGTAAGCACCAAACCATTCTTAGCCACAGTTTAAGAGTATAACTCACCTCAAATTCCAATATGCTTTTTAATTTTAGTCTATTTTTCCTCAACACTACCACATTCTCTTTTAACTTTCTAGCAATTGTGCCTAGCATACTATAACAGAAAGGATATTTGTTTTTCCTGGGGTGTTGAATAAGCCGAGCGGCAGCCACTCCAAATCTGAAATTACTATACAGTATAATATATACTTGTAATACAATATATAGTGAGGAAAATCAATTGGAGCCATAAGGAGGATTCACACCTGCACACTGTGTGCTCCCAAGTGCATGCCTTAAATCATTTAACCAAGATACTATGCAATCCCAGGTTACATTACTACTTATAGTGTATTCAGTGGTTTAGAACATGTCCTTGGGAGTACCCAGTGTGCAGATTTGAAACCTCTTCATGGTTCCAATTGATTTTCTCACTGATACATCATGTTAATGTGATTTCTTTGCACACAATATATAATACTGCACACAAAATATACTGAATGAGCTAAACTTGAATGGATCCAATGTTGAGGAATGACTCAAAATGCTTATAGGTTTCTAGCACTGGGGAATCGAACCTCAAACATGTAAATGACAGCCAGGAGCCAAATGAGTTCAGCTATGGACGTAACAAATGCATGTGATGGAGCAATTTTTCCTACCCATACACCCATACAGTACTGTATTTTGATATTGATATTCTTTGTTTGCAAGGAATGTACTTAAAGTTTGACTATAATTTTGAAGTATACAGTAAATACATGTGCATTAGTAGCTTTGAGAGAATGTATTAATTTATTACCAAAACCAACAACAATATAACCCGTTATACCTTCTTGCATATACTGTACAGTACAAAAAATTATAAAGTATTAAGTTATCAGCAAATAGTGTAAGACTTAAATTCAAAGCTTGATTTATGCAATATTCTTTGTTTATTATCCTAAAGGTTTATTTTTAAATTCTCAGTATTAATTAAAACATTTTAGGGGCATGAGAAAGTAAACCTATGCAAAGGTATTGGCAGGTTCACTCCTAAAGGCAAACATTTTGTTCCATGTTACTTGAATTCTATGACACAGTGGTTGGATGGAGAACAGCCATCAAGAAGCTGGAATTCAACATTCAAGAGGCAAGGGGTAAAGAACCCAAAAAGGCTGGAAAGTAATGCTTTACAGTCCTTTTTAATGCCTTCCAACCCCTTGTTCAAGGGCTTTTTCCTTTGAATCAAATTGTACCCTGTCATGGTGAAGCCTTTATTGGTTTTCACAGCCCATTTAAAAACTCTACCCTTGAAATATACCAACATTAAGCTTTAACAGCCAAAGACAATTTACACAAACTAGCTGACGATCTGCAGCTACACTATAGCACAATTCAAGCAAGTCTATCTACAACACCTGAATTTGCATAACTATTTCACTAAAAACTGTTCAAGCCCTCACTATACTCTACACACATACATCCAGTCATAGTGCTAAGTACAGGCTGTCAATTAACCATGCAGTTATCTGCATTGTTTTGCCTAGTTTTGAATGCTTTCTCAGGGTGGGCGTGATCGTAACAATAAACCAGTTCTCTGTGTTTTTAAGAGCAGGAGCCAGGTTCTGGCTTTAGCCCTCGGTAAACCAACAGGACTCTTATGACTGATGTGATCAGAAGTGGGAAGCTATCTCAACAAGCTAGCTTCCTACTAGAAAATTACCCTAGAAAATTAAGATTATTCTGTCAATCTGATCCCATCTCTTGAAACACTTCATGGTATGTAAATGAAATTTTATATTTTAAAGCACATTCATTATTTTCATTTATTAAGTTATACAATTCTTTTGTTTGTCCAGTTACTGACGAGACCTAGAAGTGACTCGGTATCTTGACTGAATGAGTAATTTGCATCATCACATTGTGCTCAAAATAGTTTTAAACTGCTGAAAACTCAATGCAGAAAAAACAAGAAGAAGCATTCTTCACAAATAGCAACAGATAGTTGTAATAGGCAGCTGGAGATTAAATTCTATACTAACAGTACAATATACTGTAGTATACAAATATTTATGGCAAACTATACAAAGACAGGGCATCACTAGCAGAGATCTATTCTATAACTATAAGTAAGTTTAATAAAAATTGGTAATTACATACTTGAGTGTAGCACGAGTATGGTGGAAGTCAGCTGAATCACAAAAACACACAAACACAGAGTGACCTTTGCCAATCAGCATCTCACGAAGTATCTGCATCAGTGTTGATTTACGACTGTCATAGAGTTCACTGAAAGATAAAGCATGCTGAGTTTTTACCACACTTTAATAGAAACTAATCTGCTGAATTTTTTTTTTATAAGAGTTTGGTGCAGAAAATCACAATAAAAATTATTGTACCTGTAAAGCAGTGGTAAGAACAGCTGGGTCACAGTCATCAAGTTCTGGGTTTGATTACTGTGGAAGGACAGAAGCATTCATGAAGAGATTTCTTGCATAATTTGCAGTAAGAAAACCTCATTCTTCGCCAGAAGGGAAGGAGACGACTGCAAACTAACAAAACATCCAGCCAGGCCAAACAAGCAAAAGCCTCTGAGCCGGAGGAGAACATGAAGCTCCCCGACCCCCTCTCAATGGGCAAAAGAAAACTAAAAGTAGGAAAGATAACCCCGAGGAAGCTCCACAACCCAGGGGACCAGAAAGACGCACAGCCGCTGCGATTATGCAAGCTGGTCAGCACCGTGTGCCTCAACCAGCAACAACAACTCCCTACCTAAGGCCAAACGAAAGTACCAAGACCTAAGCTGACCCCAAGGGTGAGGCAAAAAGCCCAGCAGCTGCTACCTCTATGGGAATGGGGACCCGAAAAACCCAGAGAAGATAACTCTGAACCCCAAGAGGTGCATTCACAGGGCACCTAGGGAAGGGAGCCCTAAGCGCATGCAGCCCTTGGTACAGAACTCCTGGCCACAGTCAATGCATAGCAGGGACACCAGCAGGGTGAAGCTAATCAGGCAACTGAGACCAGAGCAGACTTCCACCCAGTTTAGCTTCAGCCAACAAACTGACGGTCTGGCTGCCGGCTCAGTGAAATGCCACAAATGAGGGGCGTGCGGTAAAGCCTCTGTTTGGTCTCAAGTTGCAATTTTTCTATCAGGAGTGGTCTGTTTTGGAGCGCCTACCTTTCTGGGTGCTCAACCCCGGTCGATGGCAGACATGAATACTTTCATGTATGAGAGTTTCATATGTCATTGCTCCCTGTGCCTCTCTGAGGGGACCATGTTCTGGCTAGTGGTCTCCGGCAGACATGACAACTCCACATGACTGAAGCCCCGTACTAATATTATCTAATATCAGTCCAATAGCTCCAGGGAACCGACGGGGCTTCCCCACAGAAAAGGGTACAGTATAATATATCATATATACATCATAAAGACACTTTGCACCAGAGCATTGCCATATCCCTTGAGTATTTGTAGACATGTTTTACTGTACAGTATCTTGAGTTTTCAATATTTTTGCCAATTCCAGTGCTTTGAGTCCCTTAACCCTTGCACTGCTCACCTATTTTCGGCAAAAACGTCTTGGTGCAATTGTCAAGGACATATTTTTGTTATTTTTACAAATGTTCAGGTAAATTTAATGTCAAAATGTTTCCAAAATCAACTATTTCCATTTCAAAACACAAATAGTAATGAAAACATTAAAAAACATTAAAATATAGCCAAATTAAAAAACCAGCGTTGAATGTAATGAAACGCCATTTTCTGGGTGAGTCCCAGAGGCTCCCCGGAGCTATCCCAGGCTGATATGCTAATGTCAGACTTTGGCATCAGTCATGTGTATGGAGTTCTTAGGCCTACCGGGGACCACGGCCAGAACCGGGCCCCCTCAGAGAGGCAAGGGGAGCAATGGCCTATAGAAGCCCCCGTGTTAGTGGAAGCATTCTATGTCTGCCATCGACCGGAACAGGCACCCAGAAAGGTAAGCTCCCCAAAACAAACCCCTATTCTGGTTAAAATTGCTACCTAAAACCGAACTAGTGGATAGAACTCCCCAACCGAAAACAAGCAAACTAGTGTGACGTCACACACTGCCGCGCCGCTGTCTGCGCAGCTCCCCCCTCCCCGGGAGGGGGAAGGGGGAGCCCCAGACCCCCCGCGCCGGCTACCCACACCTCAGTTCTTGAGGCTGGATGTCAAAAACGCGAAAAACCGCCGACCGGAGGGAGGGAGGGATGCCGGGGAGCCTCCGGGACTCACCCAGAAAATGGCGTTTCATTACATTCAACGCTGGTTTTCTGGGGGGAGCCCCGTCGGCTCCCCGGAGCTAACTACCCACAGACAGAAAAGAGGGACTTACCCGGGAGGCGGTCGTCGCTCACCCCTCAACTCGAAGCCGAGACAACTGGCTGCAACCGCCGATCACAAAACATGATGCACCCCCGGCCAGACCAACCAAGCATCAACCACCCATGGACCCCTCCGGAATGCAGCAGTCTCATTCTTCGCCAGAAAAGAAGGAGACGGCTGCAAACGAACAAAACTATCACCACGACCAAAAGAGCAGAAACCCCTGCGCCGGAGGAGAGCATGAAGCTCCCCTACCCGACCCCCAGAGGCCAAAGCCAACAAGAAAAGTGCCTTGGAAAAACAATCCTGGACCGAAGGGGCCACAACGAAACGAGGAGATGAAAGGAAAGCGAGCACTCTGTCCAAAGACCAGGACGGCTCAGGCGACGCATGAGCAGGCCGGAGGTGAAACAATGCACGAGACAGCTTGCGAAACGGCGCAGACGTAACATCGATACCGAAAGCAAGCTGAAGCGGCTCCGCCAGCGCCGCACGATACGAAGCGACAGTGTTAGGCATAAGATGACGGTCCTCAAACAACCACGAGAGGAAGGACAAGACCACCCGAACAGACAAGGAGCTAACACGACGAAGACGCAAAAAGAAACGGAAGGACCGCCAGGAAAACTGCATACTGCCGCCGAGAAGAAGCCCTCAGGTGGGACACCAACAAGGAGGCCACCTGATCACCATAGAGATGATGATAGACTCGAGTCAAAAAAACCATACGCGAAGACTCGAGGAGAAGATCGAACCAGCTACGTGACGTACCGGCCCGATCTGCTGAAAGAGGCGGAGCCGCGGGAAAAACCCTCGGGTTCGGACACCGAGCAACCAGCGCCTGAAACCAAGGCTGGGCCGGCCACCAAGGGGCCAGAAGAACAACTCTCCCCCGGGAAGTCTCTAAGCGAGTCAGGACCTGGAGCAACAGCCGAACCGGGGGAAAGAGATACTGGAACCCCCACCTCGTCCAGTCGAGCCGAAAGGCATCGACCCCGACGGCCTCGCAATCGGGGAAGGGCGCCGCATAAACGGGAAGACGCCTCGACCACGCCGACGCGAAGAGGTCCACCTCGGGGCGCCCGAACGTCTGGCAAAGCCAAAGGAAAGACTCGTCGTCGACCGTCCACTCCGTGGAGAGAGGAACGAAGCGAGACAGGGCATCGGCCAAGACGTTGGACACGCCCCGTACGTGAACCGCCAGGAGAGCCAAACCCCGAGAACTCAGCAGACGAGTCACCCGAAGCGACCAACCCCAAAGAGACAAGGACCGCATCGAACCCCCGCGGTTCAGGCAATGAACCACCGGAGAGCAGTCCGAATGGAGCCGAATCGTCGATCCGCGGGCCACCCGAATCCTCCCCAGAGCAAACCACACTGCCGCGAACTCCCGCACCGTACTGTGAGCTCGACGGAAGGACGGATCCCAACGCCCCTGGCCGGCCTGGTGAGCACTGGTCACAAAACCCCAGCCGAGACGACGCATCCGTGTACACATCGAGCGAGGGCTCGGGTAGGCGCCAAGGCACTGAACCCCGAAAAACCCTTAGAGGAAACCGGTGACGCAGCAACCGACGCAAGTCCCCCGGGGGTCGAACTCTGCGATCGCGAGAGAGGCGGAAGGGGGAACCCCGAAGGAACCAGAACAGCCGTCGAAGCCAAACCCGACCCGGCGGGTAGACCACCATCGCGAAGTTCAGGCTCCCGCACAGCCCCTCGAGCAACCGCCGGGTGACCCGAGGGCCCTCCAGAAACAGACGAAGGCGGGACTGCAGCCGCAGGAGAAACTCCGGAGGGAGAGACAAGGAGGCGGTTCGAGAGTCCCACACGAGACCCAGCCATGTCCGAACCTGAGAGGGAACCAGATGGGACTTCCTCCAGTTCACCAAGAACCCGAACCCGGCGAGCTGGGAAAGAACCAAATCCCTGGCTAGCAAGCAAGCTGACTGGCTGGGAGCCCAAACCAGCCAGTCGTCGAGGTAGGCCAACACTCGAACACCTAGGAGACGCAAACGAGCCACCACAACCCGTGTAAGGCGTGTGAACACGCGAGGTGCCAGGTTCAACCCGAACGGGAGACAACGAAAGCGGTAACTCAGACGCCCCACTACAAAACCGAGCCAGTCCCTGAACCGCGGATGAATCGGGACATGCCAATAAGCGTCCCAGAGGTCCAGGGACACCATCCAAGCTCCCGGCTCCAAGAGGAGCCGAACCTGAGACAGCGTAGTCATCCGAAAGGAGGGGCAATGAACCCAGGGGTTCAGACGGGACAAGTCCAGAATGAACCGCAGGTCCGCGCAGTCCCGTTTCGGAACCGGAAACAGACGGGAAACCCATCTGAGGGACGACGTCGTTTCGACGACGCCCAAGCGTACCCACTCCAAGACGACTCGACAGAGCGCAGGGGAAGAAGCCTGCCCTGCCAGCCCCGACCCCCCAAAGCGGGGAGGGGCCACCCAACGCCACCGCAGGCCGCGAGACACGACCCGAAAGGCCCACGAATCGTGGGACCAGGCGCGGGCGAACAGCGCAAGCCGCGCTCCCCTTCGCCCCGTCAAAGGGGCAAACCGCGAAAGGGCCGGCGACCCCTACGAGACCCAGAACCCCGCACAGCGCGAACACCGCGCCGACCAGACGAGGGAGGATCCGCAGGAGGAGCCAACCCCAAACCTGACACCAGAGGCCTACCACGACGAGAGGAACCCCGAGCCCTGGCACGACCTTTCCGGGAAGACCCACCCCGGGACCCCCGGAAAACCAACAAGTCCGACATCGGACGACAAGCCGCCGACGCAGCCTGAATAAACTGCGCCACGGCCGACTCCCCAAACAGGAGAGGACAAAAAGGTGAAGAATGCCTATGAGCCAGAGCCCAAGCAGATCCCATGGAGGAACCCAGCACCGCCTGCCGACACGCGAGACGGGAAGCATAGAACAGGGAAACCGCATCCCGCAAAATCGGCGTGAACAGCTTCAACAAGGCAGCCGACAAACGCGCAGCCGAGGACAAGGTGCCGGACCCCAGGACGGACCCAAGCGTCCCCACATCCTCCACGAGCCAATCCGAAGACAGCTCCAGGAGGGAAAAGAACCGCAAGGCCGAACACAAAAGGCCCCGAGCGCGCAAGTCCTCCGCCACGAGCGCCGCCGAAAGGGAGGGAACCTGCACATGGAGCTGAATAACGCCCACATCGCGGGGAAGGGCAGGGGCAAACAAGCACTCATTCAGGTACTCAAGTTCACCCTCCAGGAAAACCTGAAGCACCGTGGAAGCTTCCCGCCACTCCAGCGCGCGGGAACGACAGAAGGAATGCCAGGAATCCAGACCAAACAAGGGGCAGTCTGCTAGCCAGGACGACTCCGGAACCTCGTAACGGAGCCAGAAAGGGAACGAAGTCCCAAGCCTGAACGAGGACGGATCCATTTCCGAGGCATAATCCGGGTCACGCAGGAGGTAAGCTGCAAAGGCCGCTCGCACCACACCAGGTTGGATGCGATAAGCCGAAAACCTCCGGAAGGACGGAACCGACGTACCCGGGGGAACACGGAACCGTACCCGGGGAGGGGCCTACACCAAATCCAACTCGTACGCAGAGGGGGGGAAAGAAAACCCCACTCCTTGTAACAATAAGCCCCGCTCAGTGGGAAGAAAAACCCAGGCGGGGTCCAGTGGGGCCCAAGGCCCCCAAGTCAGCCCCTCCCCAGCCTCGAGGTCCGTCACCACAGGACCCGAGGCCGAGTCCTCTCCCCAAGCCCCGACCCCACAAGACAAGGACGGAGCAGCCGGAAACGCTGGAGGAAGAGGGGCCCACTGGTCAGACCCTGAAGCTTCGGCCGGGAGACAAGACTCGAATGCCTCTGCCGCCCCCCCGGAAGGGGCAACCCCCGAAGCTGCCCGAGTCTCGAGATCAAGTAACCCCTGCTCCGACCCCGAAACCCTCAGACGCTTCGGGGCCAGAAGCAGGGGCGGGGGACCAAAACGAACAGAAGGGGAAGGACGAGGAGGTGCGGACTGAACCAGGATCGAAGCGACCCCCACCCCCAAGTCCGGGTCTCGAAAAGCAAAGAGGGGCAGCCCCGGGGCATCCGGGGAAGCAACCAACCGAGCGCGTTGCAACAGACGAAACCTAGACTGCAACGCACGTGCCGCCTGTACCCGAATAGAATCAGAGGATTGGGTAAATTGAGTCACAAGCAAGCAGCAACACTCACAGGACTCAGGGTCGAAAGTATCACCGACCCAAAAGGCAGCGTGGCAGAGGCAAAAACAATGAGGGTCACCCTGAGACAAGGGGACCGAGCAACCCTCAAACTCGCACACAGCGAGTGGGGACTCCGGGGTCACATCCATCGGACCCACGCGCCCCCTAGGGGATTCCCAGGGTCCTGAGCGTTTACTTTAAGAGGACTCGCGCTCAGGTAGTCCCAGGCAGGGTGCTGCAAACCGGCGCCCAAAACTACCAAGCAAACTTCTAAAGCTGAACCCCAGGGACGTGTACACTCACGGGGACCTAGCAGGGGGCGCCACCGATGAGAACAGTGGAAGGGCAAAAACAAACTGAATAAAATGACAGAACCCCCCACCAGGCAAAAACAAAAAGAAAAACAAAACCCCGCAAGAGGACAGCGAACCCCAAGGAACAGAGCCGGCCGCGATGTCGGGAAATACAAGCTGAGCAGCACCCTGCGCCCCTACCAGTGCAAACTGCCTCTTACCTGCCGGTAACAAGGGAGAACAGAACACCCAAGAGCCCAACAGGCGGCCGAAAAACCGAAAGGTAAAACGGACCAGCAGAGGCAGACCCCGAGGAGCCTGTGGAAGGTGGCCCCAAGCCCCAAGGGCAGTACTTACAGGGCACCTAGGGAAGGCAGCCCTAGGCGCATGCAGCCCGAGTACTGAAGATAACTCCTGGCTCTCGCACCCACAAAACTAACACCACACGCAAAGCACAGTGCAGTAGCGACACCGGAGCCAGAGCACACGACCATCGCCTATAGCATCAGCCTCAAGAACTGAGGTGTGGGTAGCCGGCGCGGGGGGTCTGGGGCTCCCCCTTCCCCCTCCCGGGGAGGGGGGAGCTGCGCAGACAGCGGCGCGGCAGTGTGTGACGTCACACTAGTTTGCTTGTTTTCGGTTGGGGAGTTCTATCCACTAGTTCGGTTTTAGGTAGCAATTTTAACCAGAATAGGGGTTTGTTTTGGGGCGCTTACCTTTCTGGGTGCCTGTTCCGGTCGATGGCAGACATAGAATGCTTAACACGGGGGCTTCTATAGGCCATTGCTCCCCTGCCTCTCTGAAAGCCGTGGTATAGGCCTAAATCATACACATGACTGATGCCAAAGTCTGACATTAGCATATCAGCCTGGGATAGCTCCGGGGAGCCGATCCCCCCAGAAAAAAATAAAACTCTCTGAGCAAAGCGCTTTGCGCAGTGCAGTGGAGTTACTGTAAGCTATATAAATCCAAAGATATTTATAAACTTGACATAAAATAAAAGGCGAAAGGTGGAAGTGCTGGACAAATTAATACAGCATCTTACGAAAGTGGAAGTGCTGGACTGATCTGCTGCAATATCTTTAGAACTAAGAATCTTACACGTTCCATTTGCTAGATATTGTACCTGGTTAATGAATACAGCACTGCACATTGCAATACAGTATTTGAAGAAATGAACAAACTGTGGGTGTCATTTTATAAATAGCAAAATAAAGGCAATATAAAATGAATCAAATCTACTCACTTTTTATCCATTTGTGTCTGGTTAACAAAATTATGAAGACTAAAGAACGACTTGGTGAGAAGGTCCACATTTAGCTCTTCAGCCAAACTTGTATATGTTGGTGTCAGTTCTGAGCCAGCCACTAGTACGAAATCCAAGTAGGATGTAAACATACTTGTGACCTCCCATTTATCATTTTTTGTACTGTGTGGTGCACTCTCCAGGATCTGGGACACAATGATACATTATATACCATGCTGCATTTATCAAAGAATAAATTATGAAACAATGATAAATGATTAATAATTGCAAATGAATCTACCATACCTGTATTTTATTTACATCTTGGAATAATGAAAATTATTTGTAATGAATTTATTGTACAGTATATTACAGTATATTGTGTAGATATAAGTCAGCAGCTGAGCATTTAGGCCATCAAAGCATGTTATTATTTGAAAATATGACTAAAATAAGTGAAATCAACTTGAGAGATGAAACAAAAAAGAGAAAAAAGTTTATACAAATTTTACAATGACCTTATCATCTTTTCCTTTTGAAACTGGGTATATTAAGTTTGTAGCCTCAGGCTGTAGTATTAAGAGGAAGCAATAAATCAAAGTCAAATATACTGTACAACAAAATTTATACACCAAGGAAAACTTTTTCAAGTAAAACTTAAACACAAACATCCATTAGAAATGTTCTTATGACCCTTACAAATGTAATTCTCTCATTACATATGCAAGTGTAACCTATAGGTGTTCTCACTGCCTTAAGTTGACCATCTCCAGATATTTAAGTTACTGACTGTCACAATGCACAAAAAATCAAGTGTTGCCTGTAATGAAATGCCACTTTCTGGGAAGACCTTGGTGGCTATCTGTACCTAGCCGCACTGAGATAGCTCCACACAGTAACAGTAAGGGGCAAGAAATCAGTCTGGCGAACGGTAACAAGTAGAGTACCTCAAAAATCGGAACTGGGACCATTTCTATTTTTAATACACATGAAAGACATGCCTATAGGAGTCAAGTCCTATATGTCAATGTTTGCAGATGACGCGAAATTAATGAGACAAGTTGTATTCACCTAGTTGTGTTTGTGGGGGTTGAGCTCTGCTCTTTCAGCCCGCCTCTTAGCTGTCACTCAATCAACTGAATTTACTTTCCCCCCACACATACCCACACACACCAGTGTGTGGGTGTGTGTATCTCACATACCCTTTGGTGGTGACCAAAGAGCCAGAGCTCAACCACCATAAGCACAACTAGGTGAGTACACAAACACACACATCCCCAGGAAGCAGCCCATAGCAGCTGTCTAACTCCCAGGTACCTATTTACTGCTAGGTGAACAGGAACATCAGGGTGAAAGAAACTCTGCCCATTTGTTTCTGCATACACCGGGGATCGAACCCGGAACCTCAGGACTACAAGTGCCGAGCGCTGTCCACTAAGCTATCAGGCGACTGGTCTAACAAAAGTCGTAAACAATTTCTGTAAACAAATTCAATTTCGCCATCATTCGCCATATTTAAAAGCAATTTTGAAGTTAGAAAGTATAGCAAAATCCCCTCACACAATGTTCTTTATTTGATCCTCAGGTGATAGTTTTCTATCTAGAACCATCCCTAGATCTCTTTATCAGAATTCTTTAAAGATTTCTCACATAATATATTGGTTGTGTGGGGTCTATGTTCTCCTATTCCACATTCCATAACATGGCATTTATTCACATTAAATTCCATTTGCCAAGTGCTGCTCCATATACTTATTTTGTCTAGGTCATCTTGAAGGGCATGACAATCATCTAAGTTTCTTATCCTTCCTATTATCTTAGCATCATCAGCAAACATGTTCATATAATTCTGTATTCCCACTGGTAGATCGTTTATGTAAACAATGAACATTACCGGTGCAAGAACTGAACCCTGTGGTACTCCACTCGTGACATTCCTCCAATCCGATATCTTGCCTCTGATTACGGTCATTTTTCTGTCAGTTAGGAAATTTTTCATCCATGTTAGAAGCTTACCTGTCACCCCTCCAATATGTTCCAGTTTCCAGAACAACCTCTTATGGGGAACTCTGCCGAAAGTCTTTTTTAGGTCCAGATAGATGCAGTCAACCCAACCATCTCTTTCCTGTAAAATCTCTGTGGCTTGATCATAAAAACCGAGTAAGTTCATTACACAGGATCTTCCAGATTGAAAACCATACGTACGTACATGTGTAATTACTTAAGTGTAATTACCTAAGTGTAGTTACAGGATGAGAGCTACGCTCATGGTTTCCTGTCTTCCCAGCACTCTTTGTCATACAACGCTTTGAAACTACTGACGGTCTTGGCCTCCACCACCTTCTCACCTAACTTGTTCCAACCATCTACCACTCTGTTTGAGAAAGTGAATTTTCTTATATTTCTTCAGCATCTGTGTTTAGCTAGTTTAAATCTAAAACCTCTTGTTCTTAAAGTTCCAGGTCTCAGGAAATCTTCCCTATCGATTTTATCAATTTCTGTTACTATTTTGTATGCAGTGATCATATCACCTTTTTCTTCTGTCTGAGTTTTGGCATATTTAATGCCTCTAACCTCTCCTCGTAGCTCTTGCCCTTCAGTTCTGGGAGCCACTTAGTAGCATGTCTTTGCACCTTTTCCAGTTTGCTGATGTGCTTCTTAAGATATGGGCACCACACAACCGCTGCTGTGTGTGTGTGTGTGTGTGCACGCGTGTGCGTGTGCATGTGTATTTTGTGTGAGTGTGCGACCAAGACGGAGATTCGCTGAACCGAGGTTGCACTGCCTCCCTTTATTTCCATGCTACAGTATTTCCACACAAATATGACACCTCATTAATAAACCTCTCAAATTACATTTAGAAAGTAATTCTTCTGACTATTTAACAAATGTGATCCTAGATATAATTCAGAATTCAGTACAAGTCTAATAGGTTGAATAAAAGAGTGGAAATAAACTGTCAGCATGTTGCCTACTACATCCTACATAGATTGTGCTACCTTTGAAATAAATGGTTCTCTAAGTAAGGGCTAAAAGTTACATTAGCACTACTTACAAGGCGTATAATAGTATGATCCGACTTTAAGCGATCTTTGTCCTTCCTCCCTCGCCTTATATGCTCAATGTAGGCTTTTCTGCACAAAAACATCATCTGGTGGAAAATCAAAGTATTGTAAACTTAATTGATTTAATTCTTGAAAAAGATATAAATACTGTACAGTAATATTGTTCAAAGGAATTATGTTAAGAACAAGCAACAAAGGGTTATCAACATTACAAATGCATGTGCAGCTCTGCAAAACCTGGAAAATAAATGATTCTAATATATTACAATACAGGGCACTCCACAGCTTGCCTGGGCCTTAGGGAAATTTACCTATTGCCACCATCTCTTGAGTACAACCATTGTGATGGGATCCCTGGATTTGAAAGTTCTCGTAATCCATCCGATTATTTTTTGGCCGACGCAATATTTGCTTGGTTATGCTCCCTAAACGTTAGATCGTCGGACATCATTATTCCCAAATCCTTGACATGCTGTTTTTCTACTATGGGAAGATTCGATTGTGTTTTGTACCCTGTATTATGTTTCAGATCCTCATTTTTGCCGTACCTGAGTACCTGAAATTTATCACTGTTAAACATCATGTTATTTTCTGCTGCCCAATCGAAAACTTTGTTGACATCTGCTTGTAGTTTTTCAATGTCTTCAGCAGAGGTAATTTTCATGCTGATTTTTGTGTCATCTGCAAAGGACGATACGAAGCTGTGACGTGTATTTTTGTCTAAATCTGATATGAGAATAAGGAACAGTAATGGTGCAAGGACTGTACCTTGATGTACAGAGCTTTTAACATCGCTTGAACTCTATTTTATTTGATTGACTGTTACTCTTTGTGTTCTGTTCGACAGGAAATTGAGTATCCAGCATCCTACTTTTCCAGTTATTCCCATTGACCTCATTTTGTGAGCTATCACCCCATGGTCACATTTGTCGAACGCCTTTGCAAAGTCTGTGTATACAACATCTTCATTTTGCTTTTCTTCTAGGGCTTCTGTGATTTTGTCATAGTGGTTGAGTAACTGTGACAGACAGGATCTTCCCGCTCTAAATCCATGTTGTCCTGGGTTGTGCAATTCATTGTTTTCCATAAAACTAAAAATTTGATTCCTAATCACTCTTTCAAACACTTTTATTATGTGTGATGTTAGTGCAACTGGCCTATAATTTTTTGTCAAGACTTTATTCCCCCCCCCCCTTGTGCAACGGAGCTATATCTGCAGATTTAAGTGCAGCTGGTATCTCCCCTGTATCCAGGCTCTTTCTCCATATTACGCTGAGTGCTCTCAGTACTGGTTCTTTATATTTCTTTATGAATATTGAATTCCATGAGTCAGGCCCAGGAGCTGAGTGCATAGGCATTTTGTCAATTTCTCTTTCAAAGTCTTCCGAGTTTGTGGTAATATTCGTTATATTATCTGCAGCTTGAATGTCATTCATAAAGAAGCTGTCTGGGTCATCAACTTTCATGTTTATTGGTGTGCTAAACATAGCCTCATACTGGCTTCTTAGAATTTCACTAATCTCTTTGTTGTCCTTTATGTACGTACCTTCATTTGTAATTAATGGTCCAATATTGGTCGAGGTTTTTGATTTTGATTTTGCGTATGTGAAAAAATATTTCAGATTTTTCTTTGTCTCTTGTAAAGCTTTCTGTTCCAATTCCATTTCCTCAGACTCATATGATCGCTTCAACAGTGCCATCAGTGACTTCACCACACTACCTGAGAAACCATGTTGGTCGTTACCGGGAATGTCTGTATCGCTAGCAGAATACAGAATCATGTGTAAGACGTATCCTGTTTCACAGTCACAAAGAACAAAGAATTTCAATCCAAATCTGTTTTATTTGGAGGGCATATACTGCTTGAAGGCAACATGTCCTTTGAAAAGCACAAGGGATTCGTCAATCACCAGCTTCTGTGCTGGTACGTAAAAATCTCTGAACTTTCCAATCACTTCATTCATATAGTGCCTGACTCGCCAAAGTCTATCATCTTCTGTCTGGTCCTCATTACTTGCAAAATGAAGACACCTGAGGAGTATCTGAAACATGTCTCGGGACATATATTTCCAAAGAAAGGTGTTGGAATAGTCTGGTCTTTGCTCCAATAATCTGTGATAGTGTGTTTGACACAATGCTTCATCAACATACATATTGCTAAAAATACATACATTTCACCTACAGTGGTGTTTTTCCAACTCTGCAATTGTGAATATTCTGTCAGCTCTTTTCCAATGAGATGAGCCTCATAAAGGTCCATTTGGTGAACAATATATTCCATGAGTGGCTCATCATAGAATGCTGTAAAATAATCCATTTCACACATGTCCTCTCCAGTATCAGGGAAAAGCTCTGTAATCCCAACGTCTTTATTGTCAAAGGCAGGAATTAGAGGAATAAAATCGTCACCATCACTCCACACAAGTACACCTGGTGTCCTGCGAGACGCAACAGGGGCACGACGAGTTCCTCATGTGGTACCAACCGGGGTTCCTCATGTGGTACCATGTGGTGGTGCTTGGGTGGGCGAAACGCTGCTGACGCGACAATTTCTCGCCCGGTAACACCACTGGTACTGGCAACAGGCTCGGTAACACTATGCTCTGAATCCACTTCACTAAAACCAGAAAATGAGCCACCTTCCTCTGACTCATCGCCCAAAATATCCTCATACTCTAAATAAGCACAGGAACTGTGTGGTCGTGGGTGAATTGGAGTAGACACTGGGTGAGGAGGCACGGGTGAGCGTGTAGGCCTCACCATGGGAGGAGGCTGTATCTCATTTTCACTGTCTGTGTTACTATCATCGGTCAATTGTGTGTAGTCCTTATCATTGTCAGAGACATCAAAATCACTTTCTTCACCATCAGAAAATAATTCACTGGTTATTTGCTCTTGGGTAAGTGATTGCGTGGTGCATGCCCGGGAGGCGTTCGGCCATGTGCTCGCCATGGTGACCACTGGGTAACTGGGGTCTCCCATGCGTTGGTAGTGTGAGCTGGATTTTTTTACAAAATGGCGACTGTTTACTATAGCCCCTGGGCAGTGTATGGGGTTCCCTCTACCCTGTTGGCCACTCAAATCTTGCGCGGTACTCCATCACGTCATATGACGTGATGCGCAATTTATAGCAAGTTACTCAACCCGTCGTATGACGTGTTGCGCAGTTTAAGGGTTAATCGAGCGAAAGCCCGTCAATCGAGACAAATTTTCTGCCAGTGGCTCGGTCGTTACTCGAAATGCTCGTAACTGGAGTCGCTCGTCATTCGAGGTTCCACTGTATATACTGTACTGTATATATTATATACATTATATAATTTCAATAAAAAATAAAATGAACAACTACTAATTCATATTACCTCTTTTTTAGATGTGATGAATGGTGTTCTAGCACCTGACCATACAACAAAGTCATTGGCATCCCTAGTTAGCTGTAGTGCAGGTGTGGCATTAAATAAATCACAGACAAGCAAGTCCTCCACGTTTTCCTTGTAAACATCAACACATGTCATCCTGTACATGGACCTAACATTAGTTGCTAATAAATAAATATATATAAATAAATCAATTTTTATTCAGGTAAGGTACATACATACAACGTAAGATACAAAGTTGATGGATTTATATATAGAGCTAGTACATACAATGCCTAAAGCTACTTTTACGCAAAGCGTTTCGGGCAGCAAAAACATTAAAGACAAACTTAATACTAATTGAGTTTAAAGTATAAAATGTGTTGAGAACAAATAAAAATAAAAATAAGAAAGGGGAAAAATGGCTGAAAAAGCAGTACAAATACAATTAGGTCGACAAACACCGTTGTTTAAAAAAACAGACATGGGTTGACAATAGAATATATAGGTCTCTACAGGAAACATATACTGTAGCTATCAAGTACACAATCAGCCTTTTTAGTAATTTCTTTAAAATATATTTATTGCTAAGGATGTATTACCAAGAACTAATAAAAATTATTCAGTACAATATACCAAAACCCTATTAGCTTACCTCAACACACACGAAGAATTTGTTAAGGTCCTCAAATAGTTCATGATATCATTGATGGCCAGGTGGAAAAGTTTCCTGTAATATTTGCTCTTGCCTGTTCAAATATATATTTATAGTAAATTTGACAATTATATTAAATGACAATTTGTTCAAATGATATCCAACTGTTTCTGACAGGGAAAGCCCCTTTTGACTCCCTAAAGCTAGGAGCCATCTTGCTGAGATGGCTCCTAGCTATTAGGTCACATCAGCTGTAGAATTCTGTTTGGCCTACCAGGGACCAGTTCCAGAACCTGGTCCTCTTACAGAGGTACAGGAAGTAGGTGACACTCCTCCACCCCACTAGGAATGCATCCAGAAACTCAGCAAACCAATACAGACCACTACTGGGTTCAATGAGACCGAAGCCTCAAAACCACCAAACGACCTCCCAAACAATGTAAACAAACTATCAAATCTCTTGAAACAGGCACAAGTTTGTTAGCTCTACTTCTACCAGTGGGAAGGGGGGAGGGGGGCAGAGCTCCCAGTGCCCAATGGTCTACTAACTCAATTCTGTCGCTGATGTAGACTGTAGTGTACATCTTCTGTAGATGAGATACCCGGCTATGCCCAGGTCTCTCCCACTCTTCTCTTTTTTTCCCCTCCCCTTATCTTTCAATTCCTTTCCCTGTCTTCTGTCTCCTGCCCTCTCCCACTCTCTTCACCCTCTCTCCAAATCTCCCAACTCTCCACCTTCTCTACCAATCTCCTCCCTCATCCCTCCCGCCTACTATCCCCCACTTCCTCACTCCTCTCATCTCTACCTTTCTTCCCCCCCCCCTCCCTCTCCTTCCCTCTTTTCCACCATCCCCATCTCTCTCAGGAAATTTAATATAAAGAAGCACTGAAACTGATAAATAAGTACTGTATATGAATAACACAAACTTTTATTTTGAGCTTGACTTCATTCAATTTAGAAATATAGTACTCTTTTAAAATAAAATATAACCAAAAACAAACATGCATTTACCAAAAGCTACCCAAATCTACACGTTAATAATTATTATTATTAGGTTAATAAAACATCTCGCAAAGCCAACAGAAGGACGTGTCGTCGACAGTTCACTCCATGGGAATGGAACTAAAGGGAGATAAACTGTCCAAGAAAATGTTACACACACCACACACATTAACAACCTGAAGAACCAAACCCTGATAAGACAGAAGCCAAGCTACACAAAGAGCTCAGCTCCAAAAGGAAGGACTGAAGCAACTCACAGTTCAGCAAATGAACTACCAGGAAGAAGTTGAAAGGGCATCAGAGGATGGAGCTCGAATGAAGACGAAACTTCCGAAGGGCATGCCATACTGCTGCAAACTCACATGCCATCCTGTGTGCCCAATAAAGTGAACTGACCACTGACCATGGAAGACTGGTGAGCACTGGTTACTGAAGCAACAGCAAAGACCAGTCTGTTCACCAGTCTTCGTGGTGTAGTAGTAAGACACTCGCCTGGCGTTCCGCGAGTGCTTTGTCATGGGTTCGTATCCTGGCCGGGGAGGATTTACTGAGCGCAAATCCTTAACTGTAACCTCTGTTTAACTCAACAGTAAAATGGGTACTTGGTTGTAAAAACGATTCTTCATGGGGGGTCGTATTCCAGGGATTTGCCCGAAACGCTACTCGTACTAGTAGCTGTACAAGAATGTAACTCCTGTATATATCTTAAAAAAAAAAAAGACACAGTGGCAGAGAAGGAAAGTACCACTTAACCACACCCCCAAAAAGCCAGGAGAGGAAGCTGGTGAAGCAAGAGCCAATGAAAGGCAGATGAGGTGCTGAATGTAATGGTCTCAGCAGTGACAAAATGGGTGGAACCAGAGGACCCAGTATAAACCCTGCCCTGTGCCTAGCCCTGCCCAGAATAAACAACATGCAGGCAAAGTTAAGACTCCCACGACTGCTTGAATAACAAATGTGCCATAGTACTCTCTTTAATCCAACATCAGACAGCAATGCTGCTGCAGGCAGAGCAGAGATGCATGAATCAGGGAAAGAGGTCACTGACTGGAAATCTCAAACTAGGCCCTTAAAATATGCATGGAACAAGGGCAGGCTCGACAGGTCAGTCCATCATGAGCCACACTGTAGACCCACAGGGGAGTTACCATGGCCTGAAGCATTGTTATCAAGCAGAATACCCAGGCACTAGGGATGCTTTTCCAAAAGAGCAGACACTGAATGCAGCCTACAGGATAAACTTGGCCATGAAGGATGTCTGTGGTGTGCTGTATAAACAAGCATGTGAGCAATAGCATACCCCACAACAAAACAAACAGAATACCCTAACTATAGGGTCCTACAAAAAAAGTCACAAACTTGTGCACTACCCACAGTAAGGCTCTCTACCCAAGTGATCTGGCCCTCTCAGGGGCAAACTCTCGAATACACCAGAGAAGTCACTCTGTCAGTGTGGGGAGAAACACTAAACACTTTGCATGTGGAAGGGTTGTTCTAAACACATGCAGTTCATAGCACAGATAAAATCTATTCCATGCAAGAAGTGAGGTTTGTAAATACATGCTTGTGAACAAATACTGAAGGTTAGGAACGATATACAAACATATGGACCCTACAGAACAGAGCCCAAAGGATTCCCTTCAATTATCTTTAAAAAGAAGTAGGACTCGCCATGGTTCAGTGACTCACCAAGGTCAGATTGCTCCAATCAGTGACAGGATGGACTCTTGCTGGCCCAGGATCCCCTTAGGCACCACACTAGAGTTCAAATTAAGTTTTGAGTGAACCATTTAGATGTTCTTATTTAAGCATTCATTTGTGGAGTTGGTAGGCTGTTTTAGCGATTCATTTTATGTGAACCTTGCAGTAGTTTATACTGATTCACCAACTTTCTGGATGTTTTTTTGGTGCGGGTGAAAACACCAATCCCCAGCTCCCTGTGCCTCTGAGGGAGCCAGGTTCTGACTTTGGTCCCTGGTAGGCCAATAGCACTCCTATGGCTGATCCAACTCAGTAGAGGGCAGCATCTCTGCGATATGGCTTCAAGGCATCACCAAGGGGCTCTTCCAGAAAAGTGAGAATGATGTATGAGTGAATATTACAAAAACAGGAATGGAAGAAAATAAAAAGACAATCTTGTCTTGAAAATCTAGAGGCAGGAAAATGCAGTTATTGTAGAGTACATGTTATACCATCTGTTAAACTCTTGGTTACTATGAACTGGCCTGAACTGCCTGCTATATTATTAGTATGCAGCAATAAATTATTTACTGTGTTTCAGTTTAATAATAAAAAAATTATTATTATTATTATTTATTATTATTATTATTATTATTATTATTAACTGAACAAATCCACAAGGGGCGTGATGAGAGTGGCACCTCAGTTGACTAAGGCGCAGCTGGGAACATCTCGTGCGTAGGTTCGAGCCCTCATCAAGGCCCTTGTGGATTTGTCATTTGATATGTCACGCTATTGTGATTTCTGGGTATTATTATTATTATTATTATTATTATAAATACTTATTTATAAATCAAAATATGCACTGGTCATATTTCATTGTACAGTACTGATACAAGATAAAGAATTTTTTTTTATTAGGCTGAACAGAGTTCTTATTGTTACTGTGACAACTACCGATTTGTTTCCCATTGTCGGAGACATGAAGCCTGTACTTAACCTTATCGAGGTTCCCTTCAGTAAACTACTGACCTTCCTCAGTATACAACCCACAGCAATTGCTTAATGCCTTGGCACCTACAGTACAGTATTTACTGCTAGGTGAACAGAGGTATCAGGTGAAATGCAACATTTTCCAACTGTCTTTGTCCTACTGCAGGAATCAAACCAGTCATAGACCAAAGAGCTTTAGTAAATATTAATTGCAAAAACAATTTCAGTACTAATAACAACAGAACAGCCTTTGATTATATATTTTGATTACCTGTACGAGAGGTGCCATAAAGAATAACTGCACCACTAAACTTCTTGTAGAGGAACTTTTTGATCAAACTCTTCACTGACTCCTCATACATATACTCATTTGACTTTCCAAAACAGACTTTATCTGAAAAAGTTATAATGCTATACAGTAATTCCAAACTGGAACAAATATCTCATGAATAATTTAATCTCAACAAATGTTAATACTGTACTGAACTGTTAGACTAGGCCTACTAACTATTTCAAATACAATAAGTCTAAGTACAATGTATAGTTTCCAAAAATTCATATCCATACTGTTCATAAAAATCATACTATCAAATATGAATATGACAGTACAATATACAGTACTGTGTATCTCATTACTAAATTGAACACGGATTATTATTTTGGAACATCAAATAAATAATAATTATTTGGCAACACTTACAAACTATGGGGCAACATCATTCAAAACATAAATACTATGTACTTTGCATGATAATAATTTTATAATAATTTATTGTGTTGGGGAACAGGAAGCCAGAGTGTGTGTGTGTTCATACACGTTAGGCTTTTATCGAGGTCCCCCCTTCCCCCCAGGCCGAATAAATGACCCCACCCAGGATGCAACCCCACAAGAACTTGAGTACCTACTTACTGCTAGGTGAACAGGAACATTAGGTAAAAGGAAATGTGCCCAACCATTTCTGTCCAGCCCGGGATTCGAAACCGGAATTCTCGATTGTGCATCGAGAACGAACCCAACTGAACTACCTGGACCCCAAGCTTTGATGATGATAATTTTATTCACAAGAAGGTACAATGGGTGGGTGAGATTACATAAAATTGGTATTATTACATTCTTGCAAAACCATTAACACCCATAGCATTTTGGGCAGGTTCTTAATCTAACATATCAGATAAGATGAAAAGGTACATTGTAGCAAAATTTTAGATCAACATATAACTACAATGTTATATATATATTGACTGAGGTGATTACACTGGTGAAGGTATACCTCTTAAGTACTAACATTGGAGAAGTGGGTAATACAAGATACAGGTGAATTTGAAACATGGTAGGAAACTATGATAATGAAATTAGGTACTTTTTGGTTTCAGTTTAGAATAAAGCACAGGTTGGAAATTTTTTTAATTCATTAAGGAGTGAGTTCCATAGACTGGGTCCTTTTATTTGCATGGAGTGTTTGCACAGATTTAGCCTGACTTTAGGAATATCAAAGTGATATTTATTTCTAGTGTGGTGGTCATGGGTTCTATTACACCTATCAAGGAAAAGTTTCAGATTTAGAATAGCATTTAGGAACAAGATTTTGTACATGTAAATAGCACATGAGAATATGTGGAATGAGTGTATGTTTAGCATGTTAAGGGACTTAAACAGAGGGAAGGGGAAACAAGTCCAATGCATTATCAAGATGGACCAGTTTCAGCAATTTCCCCTGGTTAGGATTTTCATATGATAAACATAAAGGTACATAAATACAAAAAACAAAACTTACCAAATGTATATGTTCTCCCTACAGGAACACCAGAATCAGGATCTACCTGGGTGACAGAGTGGTCACTGACTTGCTTCCATTCCACCCTAGCATTGATTTGAGGGCCTGTATTTATATACACAAACACCTCTGAATTAACTCTACATCCTTGCTTTTCCTTATACTTGTGCCTTTTACTTGTGGGCATTTTTCCTGTTACTGGAATCTGTAAAATATATTATGTATGCATGCAATTACTGTATAGAAAATTTGAGACTAAATATATTGTATTCACATTGTACAAACATGAGTTACGATATGATATAGGTATGATATGATGGCCTCATCTTCAGGACATGGCTACGTTAGAGAAAATACAACACTAGGCGACAATAATCATTTCAGAACTAAGTCAACTCTCATACCAGGAACGGTTGAGAGCTACAGGGCTAACACTGCAGGGCTCATGACAGGGCTCATCTCATCGAACCCTTAAAAATACCGAACAATTTACCTTGGAAGATGTTGATTCAGACAATTTCTTCAAAAGGTCATATGTAACACAAACAAGGTGCAATGGTTTCAAGTTCAACAAGCCACAATGCAAGACTAAAAACAGATGATATTTACCCCAAAGGGTTATAAACCCATGGAACCGCCTACCCGCCGAAGTCCGGTGGCAGGGTTTGTTCGTCGGTCTCCACCAGTCTCCGTGGTGCAGTGGTAAGACACTTGCCTGGCGTTCCGCGAGCGCTGTGTCATGGGTTCGTATCCTGGCCGGGGAGGATTTACTGGGCGCAAATCCTTAACTGTAGCCTCTGTATAACAAAAAAACAGTAAAATGTGTACTTGGTTGTAACAACGATTCTTCGCGGCGGGGATCGTATTATAGGGCAGGGTTGCCAGATACAAATTGCTGAAAGTAGCGAGCTGACGGTCAAAAAGTAGCGAATTTGTAATAGGAGTAGCCCAATTTTTTGTTGTGACTGATATGGGTTTCAAAGTAATATTTTGATATATAGAGTGCACTACACGATGTTAATTGTTTTATTCGTATTATTTCTGCACACACACACATACATACAAAAAAAGAAACCCGGATTTCTAGCAAACATATAAACATAGTTCACACATATAAACATATAAAGGGAGCTCTACAAATCAAGGGACCCAGAATGTGGAATGACCTTCCCAATCATGTTAAAGACTGCACCTCTCTCAACCAGTTTAAGATAAAAACTAAGCACTACCTAATTAACTCCCTGTAACCTACCTTACCCCTATATTGTCAACTCATGTCTGTTTTTTTAAAAAACGCTGTTTGTCGACCTAATTGTATTTGTGCTGCTTTTTCTGCCATGTTCCCCTCTTTTTTATTTTTATTTTTATTTGTTCTCAACACATTTTATACTTTAATTTCAATTAGTATTAAGTTTTAGTTTTTAATGTTTTTCCTGCCCGAAACGCTTTGCGTAATAGTGGCTTTAGGCATTGTATGTACTAGCTCTATCTATAAATATCAATTTTTGTATAACCTCTTGTATGTATTTTACCTGAATAAACATTTATTTATTTATTTATTATTTATTACAGAGCCTTAGCAAACAAACCTGGAGCACTAGTACACAAACAACCGCTGAAGCACAACCATGCACGAACCGAAGCCTGACCATGCACAACCCACAGCTCAAGTGACACCCCCGGAGCCCGACCAGTTATTTAACCGGAGCCCGACCAGTTGTGTAACTGAAGCCCGACCAGTTGTGTAACCAGACCCTGACCAGTTGTCTAACCTTAAGCCTAGCAAGTATACATCTCATCCAACCCCCACAAAGCTAAACAGTCCCAGAGCACAACCAAGCTCCATTCCTAGCTCGACCAAACAAAAATCTCATTAGCCCTACCTAAAATCCTCCACTTGCCCAAGAAACCAACTATGGAGCCATATCAAACAATTGAACTATATAACAAAAAAAGAAACTCGAATTTCTAGCAAACATATAAACAGAGCCCTAGCAAACAAACCTGGAGCACTAGTACACAAACACAGCACAACCACGTACGAACCGGAGCACATCCATGCACAACCCAAAGCCCAACAAGTCACATCCCTGGAGTTATGTAATCGGAACCCGACAAGTTGTGTAACCGAAGCCCGACCAGTTGTCTAACCGCAAGCCTAGCATTAACAAATCAAACAAACAACTTCTGGATCACAACCATGCACAAACTGAAGCCCGACCATGCACAACCCACAACCCAAGTGACACCCCCGGAGCCCGACCAGTTGTGTAACCGAAGCTTGACCAGTTGTGTAACCGGAGCCTGACCAGTTGTGTAACCGCACGCCTAGGTCTACTTATACTGTAGCTGGTGCGCCCCCACATGAATTATTGCATCCAGGCATGGAGACCTCATCTTCAGAAAGACACAGCTGCTCTGGAGCCATGTCTCACCAGAGCTATGGAGCTATGTCTTAAGACAAAAATCATACCAGAGCTTAGTCATCTGTTGTATCAGGAACGGTTGAGGGCCACAGGGCTAACAACACCACAAACCAGGCATGACAGGGCTGACTTCATAGAAACCTTTAAAATACTAAACAATTTGGAGAATGTCGATCAGGACAATGTCTTCAAAAGGTCAGATGTTACACGAGCAAGGAGCAACGGGTTCACACTCAACAAGCCAGAATGCTTTTTCACCCACAGGGTTGTAAACCAGTGGAACCGCCTACCCGCCGAAGCAGTAAACGCCAAACCTCTGCTGGGTTTTAAAATAAAGCTGGAAAAGATCAGAACAAATGGGGGGACCTTTGACAAGCCGCCGGCTTACTGCCCTCATCGAGGCCACTAGTGTTAGTGCCCCTCAGGTAAATTCAGTTCCCGGAGGAGTGTCCCCGCTCCTTCCTGTCAGGAAGTTGTTTATCTATTGCAGTATCATACTATCATGCAAGAGGAGCCACACATCTATGGTTCATCCAATAATATCAGCAGACTTCTAGATGTTACTACTGCTCGGCTTAGACTCCGTTACAAGTATCTCTGGGAATTCTCATTATCTGCTGATGTAGACCTGACCAAATGTAAACTGTGTATCAAGATTGTAACTTGCTTAGCTAAATGAATTGTGGGGTTCAGTCCCTGAGCCCATTATGTGCCTCTGTAACCCTTTCCATTACCGCCCACAAGATGGGTATGGGGTGCATAATCAATGAACTAAACTAAACTATTGCAGTATTTGTACATTGGACTGTCGCTTGTCACTAAACTTAGTTGTTAACTATTATCTTGATGAAATAATATTACCTTATACGCGAGAATAATTCTAAATACACAGCGATAAAATTGATGAATGAGGCTTTGGGTCGGGCGGCGGCGTAGGGAAGCCTGGCCTGAGGACAGGCGGCGGTGTAGGCGAGCCTGGCCTGAGGACAGGCAACTGTAAATGCTTCTCCCTCCACATACTTCAAGTGAAAATAATTGCCAACAGAACCTAAATACCGAACCTACTATACGCCTAATTATAGAATATAAAATTAATTTATACACGATAAAAACTATTTTTAATACACAGTACATAAAAGACGATAATAAATGCGTCTTAGGATGTGGGGGAGACGACCGCCGCGTTAACGAGCCTAGTCTGACGACGGGGTAGTTTAACACTATGGGGAAGTGTATTCTACATAATATCCTACCCATATAATGTTGGCAAATCATGATCCTCAAAATCTTCCACAATATCCGAGAGAGGACAGACTATTTAGCATTAGTGGAATACAAACATTTGAATACTACACAACCCGGATGAAAAAAAAAATACGGAAACAATGAGCCTCGAGACATTACAAAACTCAATGTTATAATAGCGAGCAAATGTATAATGCATTAAGCATTGTAGGTGGAGGTAGACTATATATTCATGCGTAAGAGCCCACCCCGACCCCTACCGAGAACCCACCCCCCAAGCCCTACCGAGAACCCACCCCCCAAGCCCTACCGAGAACCCACCCCCCAAGCCCTACCAAAACCCACCCCCAAGCCCTGCCAAGAACCCACCCGAAGCTGGACAGACACCCACCTGGAGCCCAAACAGTCACCCACCCGGAGCCCGACCAGTCAAACACCCGGAGCCCGCCAGTTTAGTAAACCGGAGCCCGCCAGTTGAGTGAACCGGAGCCCGCCAGTTGAGTGAACTGGAACCCGTCAGTTGAGTACCTGGAGCCCGCCCCGAGCCCTACCGAGAACCCACCCTGAGCCCGACCAAGAACCTACCCCGAGCCCTACAGAGGGATTCCCCAAGCCCGAGAGCCTAACCCGATCCCGAAAGAGCCCACCCCGACCCCTACCGAGAACCAACCTCCCAAGCCCTTCCGAGAACCCAAGCCCTACCGAGAACCCACCCCCCCAAGCCCTACCGAGAACCCCCCCCCAAGCCCTACCGAGAACCCCCCCAAGCCCTACCGAGAACCCACCCCCCCAAGCCCTACCGAGAACCCACCCCCCCAAGCCCTACCGAGAACACACTCCCCCAAGCCCTACCGAGAACCTACCCCCCAAGCCCTACCGAGAACCCACCCCCCAAGCCCTACCGAGAACCCACCCCTCAAGCCCTACCGAGAACCCACCCCCCAAGCCCTACCAAAACCCACCCCAAGCCCTACCAAAACCCACCCCCAAGCCCTACCAAGAACCCAGCCCTAATACCTACCAAGAACCCACCCCAAGCCCTACCAAGAACCCACCCGAAGCTGGACAGACACCCACCTGGAGCCCGAACAGTCACCCACCCGGAGCCCGACCAGTCAAACACCCGGAGCCCGCCAGTTTAGTAAACCGGAGCCCGCCAGTTGAGTGAACCGGAGCCCGCCAGTTGAGTGAACTGGAACCCGTCAGTTGAGTACCTGGAGCCCGCCCCGAGCCCTACCGAGAACCCACCCTGAGCCCGACCAAGAACCTACCCCGAGCCCTACAGAGGTTCCCCAAGCCCGAGAGCCTAACCCGATCCCGAAAGAGCCCACCCCGACCCCTACCGAGAACCAACCTCCCAAGCCCTACCGAGAACCCACCCCCCCAAGCCCTACCGAGAACCCACCCCCCCAAGCCCTACCGAGAACCCACCCCCCCAAGCCCTACCGAGAACCCACCCCCCCAAGCCCTACCGAGAACCCACCCCCCCAAGCCCTACCGAGAACCCACCCCCCCAAGCCCTACCGAGAACCCAGCCCCCAAGCCCTACCAAGAACCCAGCCCTAATACCTACCAAGAACCCACCCCAAGCCCTACCAAGAACCCACCCGAAGCTGGACAGACACCCACCTGGAGCCCGAACAGTCACCCACCCGGAGCCCGACCAGTCAAACACCCGGAGCCCGCCAGTTTAGTAAACCGGAGCCCGCCAGTTGAGTGAACCGGAGCCCGCCAGTTGAGTGAACTGGAACCCGTCAGTTGAGTACCTGGAGCCCGCCCCGAGCCCTACCGAGAACCCACCCTGAGCCCGACCAAGAACCTACCCCGAGCCCTACAGAGGTTCCCCAAGCCCGAGAGCCTAACCCGATCCCGAAAGAGCCCACCCCGACCCCTACCGAGAACCAACCTCCCAAGCCCTTCCGAGAACCCACCCCCCAAAGCCCTACCGAGAACCCACCCCCCCTAGCCCTACCGAGAACCCCCCCCAAGCCCTACCGAGAACCCACCCCCCCAAGCCCTACCGAGAACCCACCCCCCCAAGCCCTACCGAGAACCTACCCCCCAACCCCTACCGAGAAC